ATCTTTAAACCTTTGAATTTGTGACACTACATACCACAAGTAACAGCGAAACGACATCCAGATAGACTACACGTGTTTTCGGTGACAGTGTTGAAATATAATTTGTTACACAAATTCTAGCAAAGGTGAAAGAAAACAATATACTCAATGTTTCACAGTCTGCGCAAATTTCTTATTTATTCTTACTGAATATTACCCACTTTTCTACATTCTAAACACTAAGTTGTATTCCGTTCTATTGAGAAAAGTCAATATCACATCCATTAATTTGACAGCTCATTGTTCTAACACCTCCATCTCCTTCGAACAAACGCACTGAATGAATATCAAGCCCAGAATAACTTCAAAAAATTCTAATAACATTAAAATGAGGTGGCTAGATCACCCACAGTGTACAATATCAAACAATCGTAACTGTACTATGATATCAGGGAGCGAGCTCAAAAGAATCAGTCTGTTTATCCAAGTTCGTCACGGAGGAATTGGATATTGAATGGCGGAAATATAGTATGTAGATCTTCAGCGCTTGGCTGAGGTTTGGCCTGAGTTTTGTGTGTGGTTGTGTTTATCATGCTTAGTGATTTAATGATGATAGCAACTTTGTTACTTCACACAATTCAACCTGCATATTTTTGCAAGCATCCTTTTTAGTCTGTCGTTATTCTCTACGCAATGAACGTTCCACAAATGTGTATATTATAATATACATACTATATAATTATATAGTATACTATAGTAGAACCATAGTTCTTTTTATCAAATGAGGATTAAAACCATCCCATTACAGTTAAATGGCTCATGTCATTGACTGTATTAGTTTATGGTAATATAGTAATAACGTTATTATAATATTACTGGTTAACTACTCAAGTCATTTTAACTGCTAAGCGTCTGGAGTCGGTAAGTCCGTCTGCTTCTAATATTAACAGTACCTCCATATAAATTCAATACCAAACTGGTTTCTGTGGATTAGCCGTCCGTGACCTTCAGTCAAGCGTTTTATCACTTTTACGCAAACTGCCACTCTTATCTTAATAGCTTGGGGGTACATTAAAGATACCCACCATCAATCTGCGGAGGATGAATAGGTCTTTAATTGGCATAAATCCCCTATCAAACACTTTATGCATTATTAAACTACTAACCTGATAATTGAGCGAGGTTTTCGTTGACAAAATAAATAATTTCTTCATGAAGTCATATATTATCTGGAAATCTAGAATTTATAGATGTAAGTGCAGTGGGCGAAATCAAGTTGGCAGTAGCAAGATAAAACAAGGTTGGAAGTGATACTTCCGAGCTCTGAAAAAGTAGGATAGTGATCAAGACACGACTCTGTTTGAAACCCACCTATTTACACAATCTACTAGTATCACGTACTCCCACACAACGAATGTTCATACTCATGTACACGAACATGTCCTTTGTTACCGAATTGTATTGAATTAAAAACTCACTATTATGGACTCGTACCAAGTTAAAATAGTTATAGCGATTGTATATCGAAACCGTGTCGTGAATCACACCAAACTTGTGTTCTCAGTTATACAATATGTGGATGTTATCAGGGTTATAGATAAGTTGTATCACAGTTACACAACGCGAGAGGGAATCAATGGAGTAAAACAACCTTTTCCAAGATGTATTAACTGTGTATTACTCTGGCCTCAAGGATTTCTGCACATGAAATAAGGATATAATTCATGCACTTATCTACGTTCATCTAGAAGGTGATGTTTCATGCATCGTTAAAAAAAGTGTAGAAGGGAATGAATTTCACAAATTATCCTGATATGATCTGACCTCGTTTCATTTTGTAATGAAAGTTGTGGGTTGTTAGCAACCTGTGGAAATTTTAGTAAAAATATTAGTTTATTGACGCTGTTAATATCAACCGCTTTAGGAAACGTCGTTTTGATGGGCTCTGAGAACATCGGGTAGACAAATTACCTTCATCACAGCTGCATCATTCCTGTTGTCATTTAAATAATAGAGAGAGAACGTGAAATCAACCTACTAGGGCATTTTCGAAATAATAGCTGTCAATCTCAGTTTGGGGTTATAGTATATCAGTCTTTTTACTTATCTTGTTATACCCAATATATTCCACGTACGTTTTTTCAATTTTATTTTTACAGAATTTTAAACTATTGTTCATTACATGCCGGTACATGGGTGAAACTAAAGACCAGTCATATTTTTTAAAAGATCTGAAACCCAACATGAAACGTGTATCATGTGTTTTTATAGTTTTGGAGCTGGGTTTGTTGCTTCTTTAAACTACAATTCATACTATGTCACAAGGTCCTATCACGCGTACAAAAGATGGCAATGAAGTTCGGACCGCGAAGGTCGCTGATCGCACAGGAACGATTAATATATCTGTTTGGAATGAGAATAGTTCATTAATTGCTCCATGTGATGTTTTACAGCTAGTTCAGGGTAACACTACTGTAAGGGGTGGCTGTTTAAATTTGAATGTCGGTCGTTATGGTCAGCTTATGAAAATTGGAGAGTAATTTTATGTAATTGTTATTCCATGAATTCCTTTTCAGATTTTGTTTTCCTTTTGTTGAGTCACCTGATTTTAGCGCTTATAATGATGAATGGTTGGGAAAATCCGTAAGTACTAACATCTTGTTCGGTTAATCCATTTAATATACTTACAGGGCGACTCTAGTTCAACGAATAAATGTGAACCAACAAACAAACAATGAGATAACTCCAAATATATGTATATGCTTTCACCATCTTGTTCTTTCATTCACTTTTGCTAGTGTGGTTGTGTGAATTGTCACTTTAGAGTTATTGATATCATAAGACTAATGATAACCGTCGCTTGACTTATCTTGGGAGTCTCATCAGCCCTTGTGGTCTGGTGTGTGACGAAATCTCAGCACGGATACAGAGGGCTCGACTAGCTTTTGCCAACTTGCGTCATTTATGGCGTAGGCAAGATATCCGTCTATCAACCAAAGGACGTGTTTACTGCGCAGCAGTTCGTCCCGTCCTACTTTATGGCAGTGAAACATGGCCAGTAAGAGTAGGGGATATTCGTAGGTTACTAGTATTCGATCATAGGTGTCTTCGAAACAGTGCTCGTATATCCTGGGACCATCTTGTAAGTAATACAGTTGTTAGGAAACGGGTACTAGGTAAGGATTGCAAATCAATTGATGAAGTAGTGAAGCTTCATCAGTTGAGATGGCTGGGACACGTGTTACGTATGCCCAACGACCGACTACCTCGACGTGCTATGTTCAATGGTATTGGAGTAGGTTGGAAGGAAGCTAGTGGCGGCCAAACCAAAACATGGCACAAGTCCATGAAGTCACTGACAAGTGGACTGATCCACGTTGGTAGGTGTAGACTACCTGGTTGGGGATCGCGAGATGATAGCAACCGATGGTTAGAGACCTTGAACGACATGGCTCAAAGTTGTTTGCAATGGCACAGTTGCATCTACCTTTTGTGTTCTCGCAAATTCTAATCTGAATTCTTCATGTCCCTTTTTTCCTCTTCCCAAATTCATTTCACTGGATTATTTATTTATTTTAACACATAGATATTGGTACAAGGAGGCACCAAATACATATGCGCCACACAAATTTCATTCGATATGTGTGAGGGCTATGAAACTGCCCGGGTGTCCAAACCGAAGCAGGTGGTTTTCATACGGGGCCACTCCCCGAGCCTTCGACCTAATGGTCTGATCCACAAGGCAGTGGAGCATCGTAGGGAGATGCAGTCCCATGGAAGCCGGTGACCAGCAATTGGTTCATACGCCATTTGTTCCCACAGGATACTGAAGCCCATGTGCACCATTGGTTTTGAATCCGGTTAAAGCGCCGGACATTCGCTTTTCGTCCTCTCATTTTCGTAAACAACACCCCCGCCACGAGAAGGCAGAGTAGGACTTCCCTGGCAAAGGCTATGTATGCGTGGCCATGTGAGAGCATTTCGAGAGGGAGAGCGGACTCTCCCCACTCGGCCGTACCAGGGCATTTGGGAGCTAAGTTTAGTGTCAGGAGTGGGATTCGAACCCACGCCCACAGGGTGGATTATACTCCTTGAATAACATCTTCAAATCCTAATCTTTCCGATTACTGGTTATACTTTTACTACCTCTACCACTATGAGATTTGAATCGACATCTGCATCTCTGTGCTAATGTGGTATGGCAACTTTAACTGATGTACGTACGTACGAAGTTCTACGTTGTTACTGACTGACAGACTGACTGAATGATAACCGTACTAAACATCAGGTGCTCATTTGAAGTAACCAGGTTTTAAGGCTTTCCGAGGTCAGATGTATCATTATAGAGTAAAGTTATGAAATACTTCGATGGTTATCTCTTAAGGTGTCATACTGAATCCAGTGAAATAAATGAGGTTTTCATTTCCTTTATCCGCTTACATTTGTGGTGTATGCTATTTGTGTCTGTCGACATAAGTAGTATGTAGCACCAACCCGAGTTTGAATGACTGTCAAAAGAGGGTTGAGAAGATTGCACTGAAAAAAACAGAAAGAAATTGTTAATTGGAAAAATCATGAAGGATGTAGAGGACGATTGATGAAAGATTTGCGAGTGAAGCATTTAATGTATGATTTTCACATTTTACGAAAGAACTTGGTAATTTTGTGTTAACGAATAAATTGGTTATCCTCACTTGAATTCTCGTTCACTGCACACTTGATAACTAGTAATTCTGGCTGACAATAAAGTGGAAAACGATCTGAAAATCAACCAAGATTATGTCGTCAGTATATAGAGTCACTGGCTGTTTTGCTTTTAAGCGTTAACACATTCCCTTAAATCACTTACATTTGGACAAAATGGACCTAATTTTATCTACTTCGGAGAATACTGTCACATTTTGTGAGAGGTATAGGTTATCATTTCGGTGTTTCTATAGATATTTTCTCTCTAAAAGCATTTCAATTAAGTGTTGCTAAGGTTTTTGACAATTCAAACTGTTATGCGTATTTATCTCCAGGTTAAATGTCAAAAGCACCAAAAGAAAAGGAAATTGGTACAACTCGCTTACAGCTTTTGGTTGACAAAATTACTACATCTGGTTCCAATAACGTTGATTGTTCACTCGTTGAAGAGACTATAAATATATGCAGGTAATCTTGATTAGTGTATACCTAACGATCTCAGTTTAAATGATGTTGTTTTACTATTACACTTATAAAATAAATCCTTTTTCGTTCATAATGTTAGGCTTATACAATTTAAACATCTTGTTTATCAAAAATATAAATGAGTAGTTTTCAGAACTTCACTTTGAATTATTTCAATCTATTTAGTTTGTGCTACAGCTTGATGGTATCCCTGCTAACAAGATTTGGTTGGTAAAGCTCCAGAGTAGAAATGTTACTGTTAATTTTCAGTAAGTTCCTAATGTGTATAATCACACAAGATCTATAGACTAAATAATAATTAACCATAATAATCCCAAAACTAAGTTGGGAATAACTTCAATAACGGTGATGTTTTAAGATTTTGTGTTCCTTAAAAAAATTCAACTGTAGTCAATCTAGCAAAGGATTTTTCTAAGTCGGGATTTCAACTTTCCAAATGCTAAGTTGGATCTAGAGCTTGGTAACGCATTCATAAATTTTCAAAAACCTCAAATTCCTTTCGATATACTTACACATTTTACTCTGTATCATCATCCTTCAGTTTTTTTTTGACTTTTGGTAATCCATTCATTACATCTGAAAGAGGCAAGCATAGCAGAATCACGAAATTACCTTATCATCCCTAAGCATGTAGGTCTGTAAATGCTTTTTTCTTATGAGTAAGCAATGATTATTTAAATCTGGTAACTATCTTGTTTGTGGTATTCTGATGTAATATTATATGAATACTGATTATTATATGTGCCTTGTGCTCAGATTTATTGCAATATTTTGAGTAAACCATATTTTCTCTATAGATCAGTGTGAAGTAACAGTTAGTGGCTAAGAAAACTCAGTCTTCTGAAAACCATAGAGGACAATGTGGGAATGTTTGCGGTGGATTTCCAACAAATGCTCAACGTCGATACTTAACTAACGCTGACCATATATTTTGGAAGCTTCACCTGGAATAGTATCTTGGTAGCTGACACAGATAAGAGAGATTTGTCTAACTTGAATCACTCGTCGCACCAGAGAAATGTTCAGCTGTTTATTAACAAGTGAATCTATTATACGACGACTCTATCTTTTACACCCAAAGTTTGAGTTGTGATGCGTTTGTAGAAGAAATGTCTAGGTTACAAGAACATGGTTACTAGTATATTGCAAGCAATAGACTAAGCAGTGGACTTCCACTAACTGATATTGATCAGTCGTGTTACGCATTCATAACCACGTCTACCTTGATGATCTATACCTGTTAAAAGATAAGTGAACAACAAAACCTATAAGAATGATCAAATCAAGGTATGCCATTCTTATTCCTCTATAATTCATGTATTATTTTGTAGCTTTCATTCTCTAACCTTCCTTTCGTACTCTTGATACCAGTATCTCACCCTTTCAATCCTACTCCTATTAGTTTTGTGCTGTACTGATCATAAGTGCAGCAAGTTAATCTGATCCACATTCTATGCTATATATGTGTACCATACTCATGTTTACAGACTTCTAAAATTACAGATAAATGCATAATAATATCATAAATATGCTAAGTTTACCCATCGCGATAAAAGGTCGAGATTCATGTGTGTGAGTGGCTAAAATCATACATATCTTTTTGTTATGGTCTTTGATTATTTCATTCGAAAAGATTAATGTTTAGGTGATAAAAAATTATTATAGTAGTTTGAATAACCGACTTTATTTGCTTTTATTTTTTCCAGCAAGTCAAGTTCTACTGTTTCTGATTTATTTCGATTTGCTACTATTCAATTACGCCGTAATCATGCTCAGATTAGACTTGGAGTGTTAAGATTACTTAGATTGTTATCTTCTCCCCAAGCGATCGTTCGTCAGTTAACCTTGGATATGAATGACGCGACCAAATTCATTCCTTTGGCGAAATGTCTTCGTAACTTGATTTTAGATAATTTACAAGTAAGCTAAAAGCAACCAAACAGAAGTCCAGTTGTACCAATAAAAGATAGCATCGTAAAAATTTTACTCGGAAGGTATTTTAACCGGTTTTCAACATTCTGTCATATGTAGGTATTCTGTATTTCTCAAAACCAGTTGGTTTCCAAGTCAGACACTAATGTGATTTGCTAAAGAATACTCCCCGTCATTTTTCCAACAAACTGTAGTACAGTTCACACGTAACAGCGTGTAAGGGAGAGCAGATGCAAACTTGCTCATAGCACTTCGGTCACATGTCCTGTAATAAGATCATGCAAAGATTTCAAAGTTTCTGTATTTCGATGATTATTGATGTGATCAGATTATAGTATATTTAAAAGAAATAGTCGGCGAATTAGTATTAAAGTTGAAGTAAAAAAACATGACATTTTACTCAATTTGAACGTTCAGGTTCCTTGCATTCATCATCTCTTTACATAAGTTTCTTGTGCTACATTGCAATACCATAAAGAATTTATTAAAAGCAAATAGTTAAACAAGTATGTTACAGACCTAAACTTTCCTGTACTTACCAACGTTCCTGCAACCAGTTAATATGTATCAGCTTTCCTAGCCTGGTAACTAAGATAACCCACCAACGGTTCTTGTTAGGTCACCGGTTAACCAGGAGTGCCATGTAGTAATGAGAATAACATATTTTTAACCAGGCAAATAACATCTTCCGTGAAATTTTTATGAATTCTCTGTGTGCGTCAAAACATAAACAAATGGTGTGCCTGTGCATTCTGTTATTGAAAACGTCACCTATTTCATTAAATTTAACGCTACTCTGAATACCAAACTATATCAGTTTTGAATGTAACTATTAACACTGAGAACCATGTGCTTTCTAGTATTTTATTGATTAATAAAACCAATACCAAACTACATGAATCAATCGAATAATGTAGTATGTTTGTACTTTTCTGAACCGGGGTGAAAGTAAATTAATTTTTCTGTCAGTGAGACTGTATTATTTCTATTAATGAGCAATCTTGAAATGTTGTGAAACCTTCCATTAAATCTTATTGCAAGCACTTGCGACCGCTGTGTTGTCAAATGAAATACTTTATATTTTCATTTCATCGTGTCTAATTATACATAGGATCAATTGTTTAGATAAATGTCACTGGCATCTTTATGTTTGTCTAACATACTGATTACCTACTCATCTCTTATGATGTGCTTTTTTCGTAGGATACTTTTTCATATATTGTACAGTTAGAATCATATTCTGCGCCTATGCTTTTACCAAAAGAAGCCGCTAAAGAATTACAATTTGAAGGAATAGAACTTCTTCTTGATTGGGAGTATGAATTAGAACAAGGACATTTTGATGTCACTCCTTGGAATCCTGACCTATCTCCGCCCCTATCATGGGTGCCATCACAGAGAGCCAAAGGTCAATTGAAAGCATTTATAAATTTCCTCAATTTGGATAGTCGGCCCCTTGGTAACTTTGGTTCTGGATATTGTCCAACAAAACAACTAATAAAAAAGATACAAGAACAACGTAAACAAAAGTCTCAATTGTTCAAGAGTGAAGTAAAAAAATCTCATCGCCTTCTTAATGATTGCCTGAATGAAATCGAAGGTACATTTTCATGCAAAAAAACAATAAATTGCATTTGAATAAATCTTATAGGTTCTAAATGAATGTTAGTAGCAAACATTATGTTTATCGTTGATACTATTTGGATGGTTTAACTATCCGTTGATGTACTTTCTGAATGCATGAAACTCAGTCTAGACTAAAGTATCGATATATCTTAACATTATTTCCGTAGAACAGTGATATTTCATTTATCTTCATTTTTTGTATTGATAAAATAATTTCAATAGATCAATATTGTTAGTTTACCAATACTACCATTCTATATATAATGGGAAATTATGTGAATTTGTATGGTTGACCCGGATTATCCGGAGAAATAACTTCTTTTACCAAATAATTCCCATGTGCCGTATAAACATAATCATGGCTTATCTCTCAAACTGTCCATATATTTCAGCCAAACAAGTATTTCATAGAACCGTTTTCTATACTTTCCCATAAATATATACACCTTTAATATTATCACTTAAAATACATCGACTATATTTGGATTTATGTACTGGGCGTAATTAGCCATACTACGTAACTCAAACTTGATACTGAACATCTAGCTACTGTAAAAAGAGGTTATTACAGAAAGCGGACATATACCTGTAAATTATATGCTGTCTACATGGGATATCTAGTATAACAACTTCGACCAATCGACATTTTAACCTGTATTTGACTAGCTGATTGACTGCAACATCCAGCTTGCTTTCAAACACCATTGGAAATTAGGTGAATAAAATTTTGTTATTTTCTGTGTCATCCTTTATTCACATGAATGTAACACATTTGAATAAAAGATGACAAATAAAGGATCTCATTCTTATAACAGGCTCAATTTTCAAGGTTGTTTTCAAAGTTATTGCAACATATCCCGATGATCGCTGAAAAATTTATGCATTATTCTCATATATTCCTAAGAAAAAGTAGTTCTTAACATCTGAAGCCGTTAGTTCCAAGGTGTTGGTAAAATGACTAATCGAATCACCGTACTAGAGAATTGCTTTTAATTATGTTTAGTACGATATATATATTCATAGCATAAATTAACGCATTAAAAGATGTGGCAGCCTATGAGGGGAAGGCGAAGATCAATACTAAAAATCCAAGCTGTCAGGTCACATATCAATCTTGACAGATAAAACAAATCCAAATTGCAAAACAAACGGCTTCCGTGAAATTACATTCCTTGAATGTATCATTTTTTCTTACCATATAAGTTTATTGATCATATAGTTTTCTTCTATACCAATCCAGAATGTAGCGAATCGGTTGAAGAAAATTTAGTCTCTTTGTCAACTATATTAGAAATACTGGTTCCCAATCCAACGTCTGAGTCTAGTGAAATTGATAAAACGGAAATAATCGAAAATCAATCAGAGACTGACCATAAGTCCATGACAACCATGAACTCATTTGATTCTTTACGTTTGCATGGATGTCTTCCTGGAAGTTCAAGTGGTTTCGGTTTGGGCTCTACACTTACGATTGAAATTCAATTGCCTTGTAATAGTCAAGTTAATTCATCTGGAGCTTCATTTGAACCAAAAATCTATATTAAACGTTCGACAGAAACAAAAGAATTAGAAGAGTCAGCTACAACTTTCGCTCGTTTAGCAGCAGAAAAACATAGACCTAAACTTACGGATTACTTGCAAGTGAGTTTGATCGAATAAATCGCCATTAACGTATTATTTAAAAAAAAGATCGAACGTTAATATTTGTTTCTTTCCACAATACATTCGCTGTTGTAAACAAAAACGTGTACATAATTCTCATTATTAACAAAAACCTACTGCACGGGAACAAATGAAATAGGTGGAGTTAGTGATAAGAATAGGTGAATATCAGTAATCAATCGAAGAATTGAATGTGATCAAGGTGTTTGAGTGTGTTGCTCAAGGTGTGTGTAAATGTTTGGCACTTACTAATTACCTACCCTGTAAAAGAATACTTCTTAAAGATACTACACAGAAAACCTTATTTAGGTGGACGTCTTATTGACCTACTAGCACGACCGTAAAGCTTAGGAAACATCCATTTGGGACTGATCATACATAAGTTTTGTGAATAGTTTTCAACGTATTAGCTTTAGACTCTTCAGACCACGTCGACACCGTTCTTTCTGAATTCCAAGGAAGATGAAAGTCCGATTAACTGATCAGGTGCCAAATCTGATACGAATTTGTGGAACCTATACCAGATATCCCACTCCTCTGGTCAAGGTAAGATAGTTTCTCAGACTTTCAATCTACAACGTAGTAGTTAAACGTTTAAACTAATGCATTACGACTACACAACTCAGTAATTGACAATGTTGAGATGTGAGGAGGACTTAATTATTTAGTCTTAAATTTCTACTTTGAAAATATAGATTTTGTTGTATAGAATTCTAATAGTATAGACCCTTCATCCAGGTTCATGAATTCATGTTTCTTGATTTTCTGGCTGGCGATTCGCTTGTGTTCACGTAATTTTCGTTTTCGCCTATCGTTCATTTTAGTATTATTATTTTTCCGTTTCTAGTGAATCTTCCTTGACTGTTTTTGTGTCAATGAATTTTAGCAAATGCATAGTTCAAATTTAGAGGTAACCTTGATACTACATTCTTAATTTTGAGTTTAAGTCGACTAGCTACGAAACTTTATATTTGTTTGGATCCAAACAGTCTCATTTCCTGTATGAGGATTCTAATATTTCTGATACAGAAAAATGTATTTTGACAATTAAACATAGCTTGTATACTCAATAATCTTCCCATAATTCGGTCATTTGTGTTAGATTTTCAATCCTACTCTGTATTTCATATCAAAAACTTCATTATGTTAAGATTCTTTACGACCCTGTCTACCTGCAAATCCCATACATATATATTTATTTCAGACTTTGGAAAGTACTCACTCAATGAATTTTGCTGCAAAACTTTCTTCTAAACGGAATGAAAAAATCGAAATTCTTAAACAGTGGATTAGTCGAATTCAAACCCTGACATCTTTATTCTATGATCGAATCGAATTCATTGATAGCGAACCAATCCATCGCGTAAATAATCCTGACCGTGAGTACGTCTCAATGTTTATCTATAAAATGATACGTAGATATTCATGAAATACTTACCTCATTGTTTAGTATATGTGGCTTTCATTACATTTTTCTTACTGAAGTTTCTTCACAGAACCCTATTCTTTAAATTTAGATTCTTACCATCATTGAAAATACTTAATACTTAATTTCTTCTTACCATGCTCATATGGTTCATATCCGTCAACTATCAATAGGGATATCGTATTCTTACTATTCTACTACTTTCTTTCTTTCCTATATAGATATAACTGGAAGTGTGTTTATTGAACTGAAATCTATAAATTTTTATTTAGTTGGTTTACGATGATTTGCAAAAACAAAGGTTACTTACTCTGAGCTCTTAAACAAACTGATATTGCGACAAAACATTTCGTATAACTTTGATTACCATAATGTTGAGATCTAGGGCTTCTCAGTAACAAGAAGATATTATCCATTTAAACAAATAACCATTGGTAAAAAAGGGCACGAAAAACATATGCACCACACAATAACAATGAGAATGTGAAGTGCGTATAAGAATGAGAAAAAACAACGAACAGAAATTAGTGTATGAGAGTGATATAATAATAATGAGAGAGGCAGTTCAGATAACGAAGGTACAACCAGAAAGAATTGTTCCAGTTAAACGAGTTACGTTCACTTTTATGAAGAAAGTGAAAGTTACAACAGGATCACCAGTGGCTTCTATTCTCAGTCATGTCTAATAGTTTCAAGCCACTGTGTTCCACCATCTCTTGGACCTCAACCAGGCAGTCGTGATGGACCATCCCGACCGTAACTGCTACCTTGAGACGGTGGTCGGGCTTGCCTATCGTGATGACCCAACCGAGCTATATTGGCTGGAACATATGTTCCTGTAGGTTCTGCCATGCCAGGCAGGTCGATTGGAGAACGGTAAGACTAAAAGCAGCAACTCAAGGTCTGAGGGCGAAGTCGTACTGCTGACTGTAGAGAAATGTGACAGCAGTAAGGTGTTTCCCTCGGACAACCAGCATGACAGCGATGCTGCCTTCCCACAAGGAGGGGTGGGGTTAGAAAAGGTCGACCCTAAAAATGTCACACCTCACCTTACCTCACGGATTTCCGTCTCCGGCGGTAAGGCCCTTTGAAGAACGGAGCTAACACGTCAAAAACCTTCCACAATAGCGCGTGCGCGACCGCCCTCAAGCAAATGTCCCTTGGGCTCTGCGGTCACTCTCCCAGGTCGTCAAGACCAACACTAATCCAATTTCGTTTTCAGGTTCCTCAAGAAATACTCTTCCACGGTGTGGGCAGCCTGGAGGTGATATCAGCCCTCATACCCGTAACAGCACACGAGACCACGTTGGTCATATTCAATTCCTTCCTACAGCTCCTAATATCTCTCTTATCGACATGACTAACCCTCCTCACGTCCCTTTATCACCTCGTACCGCTAGGGCAAACGATTCGAGTACGCGGAACGTTATTCCTGGTCTCCTGAAACCACGCTCTAAATTTCATGTTGGAGCTTATAACGTCCGAACACTGGCGAGGACTTTAGAATCTCGCGTCATCGATGTGTGCTGCGTCTCCGAAACGCGCACACAGAATCCAAGTAGCGTCATTCATTTGACCTCACCATGCCAAAACGAAGAACCAAATCGATTCACACTTCGTGTATCTGGAAGCCCTGATGCTGCTTCTCGTGGCCTCGCCGGTGTAGGTATAGCATTGAGTCCTAGGGTAGAACTAGCTCTCTCAGACTGGATCCCAGTAAACAGTCGTTTGTGCGCTGTCCGACTAAAAGGAACAGTGAGAACTCGGAAAGATAGGGACACTCGTCGTTGCCTCTTCGTCGTCTCTGTCAATTCTCCCACTGACTGCAGCTCAGATAATGTAAAAGATGAGTTTTACAGAAAGCTCTCCGACCTTCTCCGAAAACCTAGGCGCTCTGATGTAGTAATAGTGGCTGGTGACTTTAATGCTCAAGTAGGTACACTAAGCGATAGGGAAAGACACCTGGGTGGATCTTATAGAGTCGTGGCTCAAACAATAGATAGTTGTGACCGTCTGTTGCAGCTATGCTCAGATAACCGCAAGTTCCTTGCAAATACTAACTTTAAGCACAAGGAAAAACATCTTTTAACATGGCGACCCCCTAATTCTTTCCAACGTTGGATCGCTATCAGCCACCGATGGAGGGGTTCGATAGAAGACTGTCGCTCATTCTGGAGCACATGCTTAGATTCAGATCATGCTCTAATGCGAGCACGTATTTGCCTGCGTCTGGAATGATATCCGAAAAGCTGTGGAAACAACAGTGATATCTGCTAGTACAGTAAACCACAAAACTAGGGAGCAACATTGGATCTCAACAGCATCTACCGCACTGATAGACGCTCGGAAACTCATTCCACCTGGCTCTGAACATAATGAAGAGCGGAGTCAGCTTAAGCGCAAGCTGGCAAGAAGTCTACGCAATGGCCGTGAACAGTGGTGAGTAGTGAAAGCAAGAGAGATAGAAAAGGCAGCGGCAATAGGTAATAGCAGACAATTGTTCAGACTCGTTAAGGAAACCGGAATTAGGAACCTGACTGTTAGCGAAACAATCTCAGAGAAAGATGGACATATTATACATCCTGAATCCAGGAGATTGGATAGATGGACAGAACACTTTAGGGATCAGTTCAACTGGCCTTCAGCCACACTTCGGTTTCCCACGATCTCTAGTCAACCTGAATGGCAAGTTAATGTAGGTCCTCCGACTCTTTACAAAGTTCAAAAACCGATAGGAAATCTGAAACGAGGGAGAGCAGCAGGCCGTAACAGGTTTACTCCTGAGATGTTTAAGGATGGTGGTCCAGTATTAGCAATGAGATTAACCGAGGTCTTAGGTAGAATTTGGGAACTGGACGTAATCCCATCTGACTGGTCTCAATCACTGATTGTGCCAGTCTATAAGAAAGGACAAAAGTCCTCTTGTGACAATCACAGAGAAATCAGCCTAACTAATATAGTGTCTAAAATGTTAGCTTCAATAATACTTCGACGCCTAATCAAAGCTCGTGAAGAGCAGATTAGAGACAACCAGGCCGGTTTTCGACCTGGACGTGGTTGTATAGATCAGATATTCACACTACGTCAGGTTCTAGAACATAGACACACATTCAGACGCCCCACAATCGTAGTATTTCTCGACCTTAAGACGGCATTCCACTCTGTTGATCGTGAAGTTCTGTGGCAGTGTTTGTCACTGAAAGGAGTACCAAAGAATTACATTAACCTTGTAAAGTCTCTCTACTCGAACATAACTGGTCGAGTGAGAGCTTATGGCGAACTGTCATCAGAATTGATTACCTCAAGTGGTGTTCGTCAGGGCTGTCCACGCTCTACATTCTTGTTCAACTTCGTGGTCGACGTACTTTTAGAGATAACACTCTCCTCATCAAAATTTCCAGGGCTTGAACATATACCGGGAGGTTCACTTGTCGACTTAGAATATGTAGATGACATAGTTCTATTTGGTGAAGACGCTGACAAAATGCAGAGTCTTCTGACCACTCTAAGCAACAATGCAAGCACGTTCGGGATGCGATTCTCTCCCTCGAAATGCAAAATGTTGCTTCAGGATTGGGTTGGATTAACACCCGAACTAGTTATAGGGAGTGAAGTAGTTGAGTGTGTCGACCGCTTCACTTATCTTGGAAGTCTCATCAGCCCTTGTGGTCTGGTGTGTGACGAAATCTCAGCACGGATACAGAGGGCTCGACTAGCTTTTGCCAACTTGCGTCATTTATGGCGTAGGCAAGATATCCGTCTATCAACCAAAGGACGTGTTTACTGCGCAGCAGTTCGTCCCGTCCTACTTTATGGCAGTGAAACATGGCCAGTAAGAGTAGGGGATATTCGTAGGTTACTAGTATTCGATCATAGGTGTCTTCGAAACAGTGCTCGTATATCCTGGGACCATCTTGTAAGTAATACAGTTGTTAGGAAACGGGTACTAGGTAAGGATTGCAAATCAATTGATGAAGTAGTGAAGCTTCATCAGTTGAGATGGCTGGGACACGTGTTACGTATGCCCAACGACCGACTACCTCGACGTGCTATGTTCAATGGTATTGGAGTAGGTTGGAAGGAAGCTAGTGGCGGCCAAACCAAAACATGGCACAAGTCCATGAAGTCACTGACAAGTGGACTGATCCACGTTGGTAGGTGTAGACTACCTGGTTGGGGATCGCGAGATGATAGCAACCGATGGTTAGAGACCTTGAACGACATGGCTCAAAGTTGTTTGCAATGGCACAGTTGCATCTACCTTTTGTGTTCTCGCAAATTCTAATCTGAATTCTTCATGTCCCTTTTTTCCTCTTCCCAAATTCATTTCACTGGATTATTTATTTATTTTAACACATAGATATTGGTACAAGGAGGCACCAAATACATATGCGCCACACAAATTTCATTCGATATGTGTGAGGGCTATGAAACTGCCCGGGTGTCCAAACCGAAGCAGGTGGTTTTCATACGGGGCCACTCCCCGAGCCTTCGACCTAATGGTCTGATCCACAAGGCAGTGGAGCATCGTAGGGAGATGCAGTCCCATGGAAGCCGGTGACCAGCAATTGGTTCATACGCCATTTGTTCCCACAGGATACTGAAGCCCATGTGCACCATTGGTTTTGAATCCGGTTAAAGCGCCGGACACAGGTGCACAGGTGCATCTACCTTTTGTGTTCTCGCAAATTCTAATCTGAATTCTTCATGTCCCTTTTTTCCTCTTCCCAAATTTATTTCACTGGATTATACTCCTTGAATAACATCTTCAAACCCTAATCTTTCCGATTACCGGTTATACTTTTACTACCCCTACCACTATGAGATTTGAATCGACATCTGCATCTCTGTGCTAATGTGGTGTGGCAACTTTACCTGATGTACGTACGTACGAAGTTCTACGTTGTTACTGACTGACTGACGTGACGGACCAATAGAAGACGGTTCAGTACAGCTTTCTTTCATACCACAATACTACATTGTGCACTGACCACCTCCGCTTTTTCCGACCGGTCCCATCATCGGCAAATAATGCACGACGTAGAATTCGCTGTTGCGATATTCGTAGTACATGTCCGAGCCATCACAGTCGGTGTTTCAAGATGGTGATACCGGGTGAATTATCGTCACTGTACCCGCATGCACACGATGCCGAACCTCCTCATTACTCACATGGCGGTATCACTGGATGTTAGCAACCTTCCGGAGACAACAATGGTGATGAGTTGTCTAGGATTCTCAACAGATGCGTTGTAGATTCGATCTTTTACAGCCAGGCTAACATCACGAAGGTGCCAAAGATGGCCCAGATTGGCATAAACCGCTCTGGCTTTTACTATACTATACATGAATTGATCTCATCACTCATGCCACCACCATGCAGCTACCCAGATACACGAACTTCTCGACTACTTCTATCTGCTCACTATCCAGGGTGAGTGCAGGATCAGGGGCCTACCAGTCCTGTAAAAGTACTTTACATTTCGAAGGTGCAAAGCATATGCCATACCAACGGACACTAATTGCCAACTGATTAGATGCGGATTGCATAGCTTGAACATTATCGCACAGTAAGACAATATCATCGTCATATTCCAAGTCGATAAGTCTTTCTCCAGACAACAGGTCCACACCATCATTACCTCCATCCATCAGAACTGTTTCCAGAACGTCATCGATAGCAAAGTCGAAGAGAAATGGTAAGATTGGGAAACTCCACCTAACCCCACTGCTTGAATGGAACAATGGAGAGAGGTGGTTGTATGCCCTCCCTCTGCCTGAGGTGTTTGTATATGGAGCACACCCTTCCTCAATAAACAGTCTCAGATGACAGTCCTGTCCAACGAATCGAAGGCGGCCCTAATGTCACTATGGTTGTTGGCTTGTGATGAGTATGACGGTGTTCTAACATTTGGAGGAGGGTGAAGATATGACCAATACATCCTCAACCAGAACAAAAGCCAGTCTGCTCCTCACCAGTCAATCTTTCTAAGGTTTTGAACAATCGACGAAGTATGACAGAAACTAATAGTTTGGACGCAATCGGAAGTAGAACTATCCCCCGATAGTTGTTACAGAAACGACGTGAATTCTTCTTGAAGACAGGGGCAACTATCTACTCATTCCATGATGTTGGAACACACTCTCTCTCTAATTGCCAGACATTTGTCAACAACTCAGTCAGTTCCTTAACGATAAAGTCACCAACATCTTTAAAAAGGACCAGAGGTAGGTCATCTGAGCTTGGTGATTTGTGACACTTTAAGAGTCGGAGTTCCTGCCATGGAGAGCAGGACAGTCTAATCGACGTCGCCGGGGCAGCAGACCAGTTAAACTGCTGCTCGAAAAACTCAGACTATCGTTCAAGATGTCAGTAGATGTTATCGATTGACATTCTGCCAGCTTGACAGATTGTTTCATACACCTGACTTCTTGCTGCCAGTGTCTCGGATGAGTTGAAAGAGCTTCAGTAAGTCACAAGATGCAGCTGCTGCTTCCAACTCGTTAGTACGCTCCGACCACCAAGCTTCTCGGTTCATACGCAAACTTCGCACAATTTCATTACACAATAATCTTCATTTATGGTCAAACTCGCAGTCACTCGGAATAGACCGATGTGCGTCAACAGGTTGTAACGATCCTGTAGAAATTCAGCGCTTATAAGCTGGACGTTTCGCGAAGCTGCAAGCGAATTTACTCGCCATTTTCATGGCGTCATGCAAATGCAACCAGTGCTCATCCAATTGATTAGTGCTGTCTCGGCTCTAGTGCTTAGTGAAACACCAACCCCAGCAAAGCCAGATAGAGATGCCACAGAGTCTCCGGACAAACGCACGTGAAACAAGCTTTCCGAAGAGACAGATGGAGAGAGAATTTATAGTACTTCACTACAGTCTTGAATAGACAACATACATCGATGTTGAGACTTTCTAAGGAAATAGTCAACCCTATCTGTTGTTCGATCTGCATCAGTGTGAGAACGTTGAAGGAAGCCAGTTTGAATGTCATACGTAGTTTCAGAAAGATTGTATCAGTATTCTTAGTCGGTGGTATCATTCAACTTTTGACCAGTCAGTGACTCGAAATCGTTTAGATGGGACAGGGTTTCCACCATAGGCGAGCTGCTATATAAGTTGAAAAATAAAGGAATACATAAAATAAAATAAATGCGAGTTGACAAGTAACTCAATATAAACTAACAACGAATGGTACCGAATATTTGTGAGGATGAGGATCCAAGCAGGTATATGTTTTTCGAGTTGTATTTATGATTAATTTTGTGAGAGGGCTGGTATACTACTCATGTGTCTAAACCGAAGTAGGTGATTTTCTTTCGGGCCACTCCCTGATCGTTTAACTTGGAAATGTTGTCTACGAGTCAGTGGAGCGACGTTACAATATGTGGTCTTCCCTGCCCCCAAATGCCCTGGTACGGCCGAGAGTGGGGAGAGTCCGCTCTCCCTCTCGAAATGCTCTCACATGGCCACGCATACATAGCCTTTGCCAGGGAAGTCCTACTCTGCCTTCTCGTGGCGGGGGTGTTGTTTACGAAAATGAGAGGACGAAAAGCGAATGTCCGGCGCTTTAACCGGATTCAAAACCAATGGTGCACATGGGCTTCAGTATCCTGTGGGAACAAATGGCGTATGAACCAATTGCTGGTCACCGGCTTCCATGGGACTGCATCTCCCTACGATGCTCCACTGCCTTGTGGATCAGACCATTAGGTCGAAGGCTCGGGGAGTGGCCCCGTATGAAAACCACCTGCTTCGGTTTGGACACCCGGGCAGTTTCATAGCCCTCACACATATCGAATGAGATTTGTGTGGCGCATATGTATTTGGTGCCTCTTTGTACCATTATCTATGTGTTGAAATAAAAGAAAAAATAAAAACACCGAAAATATCATTCTTCATTTGTTTTCTTTGGATTCTGTCGACTATGGGGACCACTGATTTGGAATCACGGCTTTCTAACTCCTCTAGGTCATTCATCCGTACCCACCAACTTGGTTAAAGCGCTAAGTATCCAAGAAATACTGTGTAGTGAGGATTTTTTATATATGTTATTGCATCTTGTGTAACCAGAAGTGTTAAAATCGAAACAGAACTGATATCACTTGAATAAAGTGGCAAAACACATAACAGATGAACATTTATTTCAGATGATTATAACAAACACACTTATTTGTATATAGATTTACTTGCACTCCGAGAAAGTACTAATGAATAGACCTGACAAGAACATAAGTCACGGCCAAGCAACCTAATAAACAGATCCCGGCGATTACGAACGGAGATAGCAAACCCTCAGAACATCTATGCATACTTATTCTGACAAAATGGGAGAGATTTTATAAAAAAGATCAGTCGTGGGATCGTGAAACGATTCAGTGTGACATTCGTTAACTAATCATCAAAGTAAGTAAATCTTTGTATATGTGAGTATATCCAGATATTATTCTGAAGTTTAATATTTGGCCGTTACATTTATCTTTATCTGCCGTCAGCATTTGTCTTCTTCCTTGCATCGTGCGATATCAGTTCTGTTTCAGTTATAACACTAAACAAGCTAAATAAAGTTCTGAAAATCATATGACCACTTTTATTTTGAAAGTTAAAGGTTGGTTAACCAATTGTTCTAAACATTGTATAGTAAATGACTAAATAAATTTTGGTTGATAATTTAGTTTCGTAGCTCTGTTGGTTGAGGTCTATATCATTAATTTGGCGACAGTAGTTCTAATCTGATTGTGCTTCAAGGTTTTTTCTATATGTTACCTTTATCAGCTGTCAGTATTCAAGACAAGTGTAACCTTTTCCTGCTTTATTAAGATACATTCACACGTAACTTTTATTATTATTATTAGATCATTATTATTAAATTATTATTATTATTAATTATTATTAATAATGACCATTCTCGTCTATATGCATGCTGTATAGCAACTACTCCCGATTGTGTTAAAATATTTGCAGTTGTTTCGTTGTTTTTAAAAGGAAAACAGAAATCATAATATAAATTTTTACAGCATTTTCATTTCTAATCATGTACATATTTTACAAGTTTTCGTTTGTGTTGTTTCTTAAAATCATCCAATCCATTGTTTCACCTTGATAGGTACTTCTATCTCTAGTGATGACAGTGATTTTGAAGAGGTAGTCAGCACTACATCAGATACTGGTAAATCACTATGTTATCCAAGTTCATTACACGAAAATTTATCATGCGGAAGAACAGAATCGATTAACACTAGAAGTCTGTCCGTTGTTAATAGTGATCCCAACCAACAAATAGTTCAGTTAACAAATGAAGATCAACCGAAGTAATTTTGCTAAAATATTAATTGATTTTTATGATTGGAAATATCCCCTTATATTATATTTCTTTAATAGAAAGTATTAACTTGTTATTAATTCGTATGAAATTATGATCTTGTTCCTTAAAATTCGTGCTTGCTTCTTTCATTTCTTTTACTTTTGTAAAATCTGTAACGACAAAGCAGACGATTTATTGTTAATGAGTTGTACTCTCGATATGTTGGATGCCTTACAAGTGTATAGAACTTCAATGCTGAAAAGTAATATAATATTCCATTCGATTGTTTTTCACTTAAAATGATTGGTTGGATTAAGATACTGTTAGGTTGGAGCGGATATTTCGGAAAGGTAAACTTTTCAGAACTGGTATACGGTGAACTATGGTGTATATTTTTGGTGTGTAATTGCTGAATATTTGGTTTATGGTATTTTGATATTGTCCTTATTACAAACTAACTTACGCGGTATCGATGTATGTTTTACCGTTTTGAAAGTGTTGTTAATCAGTTTTATAACTATTTCTCGGTTTTATACCATATGAATTTTGTACAAGCTGTAACTTCTTATTTATGGTGAGTTATGATCTTGTAGCTAATATATAGTTCCATAGGTTTTTGAATTCTAATAATAGAAGGTAGATCGGCTTGCTGTTATTGTGTTCTGACTGGATACTGGGATCCAGAAAAACTACTTTGGATCAATAGGAACCAGGATTTTTAGTCATTGTGAGTGGTCATTTTTCTTATTGATTAAATAGGTCACTGATGTGATTGGCTTAAGCGAACTCCAATAAGTTTGTGTATATGCAAATGACTTTACATAATAATAATGCTAATTCATTTATTCAATCTTCAATCCGTATGTAAATTTTAAATTTTACGTCAAGGTTTCATGTTATGTAATATGTCCTAACTCCAACTTTCAGTTTAATGAAAAAAATAAAATCAAATTTTTCCTGATTTATATTATGTGATATCTTATATTCGTTTGATCAATAAACTATTTAATGTACACCAATGAGAATAATTGATACTGGATGTATTTAATAGGTTACCAAGCTTCACAAAACCTATGTTTAATAATAATTAAATAGTAATAATCTCGATTGAGGCAAAAGCAAACAACCAGTAATGTTCACAGTTTCAAATTAAACTCAATTAGTGATAGACGTTTATTTAGTTAATGTTGTGCATCCACTAGTGGCACATTGGTTTATTTCTGAGTGATTTTTATTTTAATACCCCTCCTTCTTTTAAATTTTGTAACCCATTGAATCGATAAAACCATTCACGGTGATCACGTGCACACTAATGCACAAAAAGCATCTATTTAAAAATATTACCAACCGACAATTCAAACATCTTACGTTTATAATGTCAGAACTTTACATTTGATTCGCGTATTAATTATCCTTTATTAGTTAGTTTAGAGTGTGGTAAACTGTAAACCCTTTATCAAATGATCAGCAAGTTAAGGAAACCCTGAGGATTTCGGTATTGTTGCCACCAATTCTTAAATTTCACTGGGTATATCGTTCAGAAGATACATAGTTTCTAATTTGTTTGTTTCAGTTAACTGTGTTCAGCGGAAGACTAAGTTTCCGAACGAAATTGTTTCTTTAAGAAAATCAAAGTATTTATAATATTTAAGTTATTGATAATATCATGACCGAAGCGTTTATAAATCTGTTCTAATTCTTATGGCTTTTTTGTATTTATCGTGTGGTTGAGTAACGACAGTGTAGTTTAACCCTGATCAAATAGTTCTACTTTTAGGTTGATGCAGAGTACTAGAGCCTTACTGACAAAATGCTTATATACTGATATGACGGGAAGAAAAGTCAAAATTAGATTGATTTACTCATTATGATTTTTATTCAACATTAATTCCGTTTTAATTCAATGTAACGATTATTCAGTATAGTATTTGTTTCTATTATCCCATATTACATTTTATTCTGTATGATATACAATGTTCTTGTATTCTAATGCACATGAACTATTCTCAGCATATGATTTGTTATAACTCTGGGTATTATTTATATATGTGATTTTATTCTAATTATTAATCAAAAATCGGTATATGAATTAATATATAAATGAGTGTATTTTCGCCTAGGGTCGTCGCGATTGTTCGTGCTTCTGGCTTGTTGTGGAATATATTTCCCTCTCCTGAACTTGTACTTCTCTCTCTAGTTATCTGGTCTGGGACGTGTCAGAGTAGCTAGCATATCTGTCATTGTAATACAGAGTCTTTATTCAGTTCACAAATTAGGTGAATTCGTAATCTCTTTAAACACAGCATATACATATATAAATGCTTTCGATTTGTACCATACTGTCAGTCGGATCTGTCTAAAACATTTGGAGCATTCGTAGCAGTGAATGCACACTACGAGTTTACAGTATATGTATTACTTACTTACCCATTGTAGAGAAGCGTAGGCTTCCCACCAGGATTCTCCATCGAACTCTGTCCTAGGCACAATCCCTTCCAGCTGCTATTCATCCTTTTGATGTCTGCTTCCGATTCTCGACGCAGTGTGTTCTTTGGTCTTCCTCACTTTCGTTTCCCTTCAGGACTCCAAGTTAGCGCTTGCTTCGTGATGCAGTTTGGTGATTTCCGTAATGTATGCTCTATTTACTTCCAGCGTCTTTTCCTAATTTCCTCTTCAGATGGAACCCGGTTTGTTCTCTCCCACAGTATGCTATTGCTAATAGTATCCGGTCAAAGGACATTGAGTATCTTACGTAGACAACTGTTTATAAATACTTGTATCTTTTTGACGATGGTTGTAGTAGTTCTCGAGATTTCAGCTTCGTACAATAGAACTGATTGGGGGTTCGTATTGAAGATTCTGACTTTGATGTTGCTTGACTGTTGTTTTAAGTTTCATATGTTCTCAAATCGAGAGAATGCTGTCCTTGTTTTGCCAACCCGTGCTTCCACATCTGTACCAGATCCTCCTTGTTTATTAATGATGCTGCCCGAACACGTGAAATGTTCCACCCCTTCCAGAGCTTCTCCATCAAGTGTGATTGTGTTGGTGCTTATCGTGTTATATTTGGGGATCTTGGTTTATTACTTGTGTGTGTTGAGACCTATTGATGCAGACGCTTCTACCACACTGGTTGTCTTGACCTGCATTTGTACATGTGTATGAGATAGAAGAGCCAGATCATCTGTAAAGTCCAAATCGTCTAGTTCCATCTAAGCTGTCCGTTATATTCCATGTTTCCCTTCAGATGTGGAGGTCTTCATAACCCATTCAACCACCAGAAGAAGGAAAACGTGGGAGAGTAAGCAGCCTTGTCTGACTCCGGTCTTCATTTGGAATGCGTCTGTCAGCTGTCTAGATCTCGACCCTAAATCGTACGGCTTTATTATGATCTAGATGTTTTATATTGGTATTGTTTAAACTATGTAGTATTTAGCTTGAGTTTCGGAGTGCTTTCCACAAAGGTTTTGTGGAATTTTGACTTTTTTTTCATCTACAGAGTTATTTCTATCTACGTTCCTTAATCATCTGTATGGTATCATGAAATTGTTTTGAAATTTCTATCTTCTGCGTTTCAATAATAATTTTCTAGGTCTCGGAAACATGGGACTGTTGTAACCGGTTCGACACAAAACTTTATTTCCTGTGATGTCACAACAAACCCTCATACTGCATCTTGGAGGGATAGCGAATCTGTTCACCGTTTTTGGAAACCTATTGATCCAGACGAATATAATAGACCAAAAGAGTATCTTGATTCAGCTGTTTCATGGTTTTCAACTAATGATACTCAATGTTGTCCTCCAAATATTCATTCCGAATCTGCAAACACATTTGAATTTACGGAAAATGAGATCAAAGATACTGACTTCACGGGTATCTTTCTTGATTGACATAAATATGTATTTTATCATATTTAACCTCATGTGTAGATTTCATGGAAATTTCGCTACATTATCACCGAACAATAACAGTAAATCAGTTGATAATTACTGGTCTTTAAGCCACCCTTACTTTATATTGATAACCATACTAGTCTGGCTTAAAACCCTTGACCTAATAGTTAGAATTTGTATACTTTTGAAAACCAATTCATAGACCTGTAAATCGTTCACTAAAGAACTACCTTTTGTTTTTTGTATCTCATATGAACACGTGACCCCAAATTAAACCCCGACTATTTTCATTAGCCTAGAAACAGTGAGAATTTACAAATCTCTATTGTTTTTCGGTGTACGCAATTGACTTTTTACCACTTAATTTCTGATTTGAACTGCAGCTTGAGAAAAATTTCCACAATAAGCGCGACTTTAGGCCTCAACTCACAAAACTTGAATTTCGGTTTCAGTTTTAGAACTCAGTTAATTCGTGATAGTGTAAGGCTTGGTGTTTAAAGGCACAGGTTGACCACATGGAAACTGCGGTAATTTTCTGTTGGCAATTCAGTCATCCAAATTTTAGTGCCTAGACAGTTGAAAAATAGAATATAGCCAGTGTTCGTAAATTAATTATCTGTGAGAATTACAAACCTAGTGTTTTGGAGGTTTTCTGTGATTTGATTTGATGAAACTTCCAATTGTCAAAATCAGTGAATAGAATGCTAATCCTTAGGTGGACCTAATAAAATAATGTGGTGGGGTGATGGCTACTCACGAGATCGGATAATTGATTTAGGTCTTCGAATGATTAGAGATCAAAGACGAGACGGATAACCATGCTTATATATAAAATATGAACGCAATATAAACATAATGAAATGTAATAAACGACTGGAGAAAGTTAAGACTTAACTTTTAGGTCTAATCTCTGGGCATTGTATCACCCAATCTGACAAATGGTTTATATGAATAAGCTGTATTACTAAATTTAATCAGCCTGATTGTATACACTTCTCTACATCTAGCTGGATTTTGGTTTCTTGCTAACTAAATATTGTGCAGCTGTTCAAAGTACTTTAAATTAGGCTTCTGTGTAGATAAACTATGAGAAGGCTGTCTACTCAAACACCACTGGTCGATTCAAAGAGTATGACAGGCTTTTATCAGAGTTTTCAACCTCGAGTGGTGTTCGTCAAAGCTACTCACTACCCCCCCCCCTTTTAATTTCGTCATAGATGTTCTAGAAATCATCCTCTCTTCATCTAAATTAGTAAAAATTGCTTTCCTACTAGTAGGTTCCCTTATCTACTTAGAATATGCAGATGACTTGGTCTTATTTGTTGAAGACTCCGATGTACTGCAGCTTTTTGGACGCCTTGAGTAACAGTGCAAGTATTTTTAGAGTGCATCTCTCTATATTTGAATACGATGTTTTGCCTCGGGATCGGTGTGCTTCTGGCTAAAGCGATCATAGGGAGCAAAGTAATTGATTATGTTGACCCCTTCACTTATCTTGAAGTCTCATTAGCCTCGATGGGCTGGTGTCTGACATGTGTGTTGGGAAAATTAAGTGAGCAATGATGAGGTTAGGCAGAGTACACTGATATTAGTAAACTAAGTGGTGTTCATTTGATACTGCTTATGGAAGTAATTAATATCTAGTATTGTTTATAAACAAAACTAGGAAATAACCTTTATTCTCTTAATAAATATAAAACCTTTTACATTCATAGGTATTGGTTATTTGAATCTTCTCATAGATGAACCCAGTAGCTAAGTGAATAGCCTTCGTCTTCCCATCCCATTATACACATTATACTTCAGTTTCTAGCTTCATATCATATTGCCCATTAATTTGTTTTGTACAGATTGTTATCAGTTGTCAAAATATTTATTTATTTACATCAAAGTTTCGATCTTAACTTATAAATACTACATTTCTTGTCTTGCGCTCGTCTCTCTGGCACATCTATGAAGGTAGGGATTCATAGTTGTAGTATACGAACATTTCTAATAGGCTCTATGCCAAAAAATCTCGAAAAATCTAAAAGGGATCTTTTCATTAATGAAATAGTTTTATTGGCAGTTAATTAGTTATCTGGTATTGAGAATATATTATTTAAATACTAACACTTAGTAAGTTACTTTTAATGGTTTTCATGTTTCAGACATGCTCTGAGAAACGAAAATATGATGTGATCCTTCCGACGAGACTTTTTAGTCTATTTTTTTCAGAATTTCAGTTGACAATTCTGTGTAGAACAGGCGAAATTCGTCAATTTTACTCACTCGATCAGTGATTTTACACGTTCACAAGAGTAGACAGAATAATACTTATCCGATTATTTTTATAAACTTGATGTGATTAATACTTTGTTCTTGTTCAATTCACTAAATAATCTAATTTACTACTATTTTTGAATTTCGACCTCAGTGGCTCCTCGACAGCTGTTCTGTTGGGCTCCCTTGTTATCTGGTTCATTATGCCGTCGATGTGATCCAAGCGGTCGATGTCCTATACATGGCAGAATTGTTAAACGTGACAAAATAACTGGGAGACCGATTAATATGAATGACCGAAAACTTCTCCAAACAGAAATGGAATCTAAGAGATTAGCTAGACAAAAAAGTGAGTTTTCTTGTGTAATGGTTTAATTTCACACGAATTTTCTTAGTTATATCAATTCATAAGTTGAAGGCTACTCTGTGAAAAATGTAGATTTTTTAACATCGATATCAATCTTCTCTCTTCGTTGTTTTGACCACTTATAAAGTTGTTATTCACAAAAAAATAGAGTTTTCAGTGAAATATTACTAATTGTTCTTGAAATAATAAGCTTTGTGATCTAATTTTGTACATGTTAACATGAATTTAACAAATTGGTCCCTGCACAGCAGCTCGCATATGGTCGAAACCGTGTTCTACCCAAGTTAAACGATCAGGGAGTGGCCCGAAAGAAAATCACCTACTTCGGTTTAGACACATGAGTAGTATACCAGCCCTCTCACAAAATTAATCATAAATACAACTCGAAAAACATATACCTGCTTGGATCCTCATCCTCACAAATATTCGGTACCATTCGTTGTTAGTTTATATTGAGTTACTTGTCAACTCGCATTTATTTTATTTTATGTATTCCTTTATTTTTCAACTTATATAGCAGCTCGCCTATGGTGGAAACCCTGTCCCATCTAAACGATTTCGAGTCACTGACTGGTCAAAAGTTGAATGATACCACCGACTAAGAATACTGATACAATCTTTCTGAAACTACGTATGACATTCAAACTGGCTTCCTTCAACGTTCTCACACTGATGCAGATCGAACAACAGATAGGGTTGACTATTTCCTTAGAAAGTCTCAACATCGATGTATGTTGTCTATTCAAGACTGTAGTGAAGTACTATAAATTCTCTCTCCATCTGTCTCTTCGGAAAGCTTGTTTCACGTGCGTTTGTCCGGAGACTCTGTGGCATCTCTATCTGGCTTTGCTGGGGTTGGTGTTTCACTAAGCACTAGAGCCGAGACAGCACTAATCAATTGGATGAGCACTGGTTGCATTTGCATGACGCCATGAAAATGGCGAGTAAATTCGCTTGCAGCTTCGCGAAACGTCCAGCTTATAAGCGCTGAATTTCTACAGGATCGTTACAACCTGTTGACGCACATCGGTCTATTCCGAGTGACTGCGAGTTTGACCATAAATGAAGATTATTGTGTAATGAAATTGTGCGAAGTTTGCGTATGAACCGAGAAGCTTGGTGGTCGGAGCGTACTAACGAGTTGGAAGCAGCAGCTGCATCTTGTGACTTACTGAAGCTCTTTCAACTCATCCGAGACACTGGCAGCAAGAAGTCAGGTGTATGAAACAATCTGTCAAGCTGGCAGAATGTCAATCGATAACATCTACTGACATCTTGAACGATAGTCTGAGTTTTTCGAGCAGCAGTTTAACTGGTCTGCTGCCCCGGCGACGTCGATTAGACTGTCCTGCTCTCCATGGCAGGAACTCCGACTCTTAAAGTGTCACAAATCACCAAGCTCAGATGACCTACCTCTGGTCCTTTTTAAAGATGTTGGTGACTTTATCGTTAAGGAACTGACTGAGTTGTTGACAAATGTCTGGCAATTAGAGAGAGAGTGTGTTCCAACATCATGGAATGAGTAGATAGTTGCCCCTGTCTTCAAGAAGAATTCACGTCGTTTCTGTAACAACTATCGGGGGATAGTTCTACTTCCGATTGCGTCCAAACTATTAGTTTCTGTCATACTTCGTCGATTGTTCAAAACCTTAGAAAGATTGACTGGTGAGGAGCAGACTGGCTTTTGTTCTGGTTGAGGATGTATTGGTCATATCTTCACCCTCCTCCAAATGTTAGAACACCGTCATACTCATCACAAGCCAACAACCATAGTGACATTAGGGCCGCCTTCGATTCGTTGGACAGGACTGTCATCTGAGACTGTTTATTGAGGAAGGGTGTGCTCCATATACAAACACCTCAGGCAGAGGGAGGGCATACAACCACCTCTCTCCATTGTTCCATTCAAGCAGTGGGGTTAGGTGGAGTTTCCCAATCTTACCATTTCTCTTCGACTTTGCTATCGATGACGTTCTGGAAACAGTTCTGATGGATGGAGGTAATGATGGTGTGGACCTGTTGTCTGGAGAAAGACTTATCGACTTGGAATATGACGATGATATTGTCTTACTGTGCGATAATGTTCAAGCTATGCAATCCGCATCTAATCAGTTGGCAATTAGTGTCCGTTGGTATGGCATATGCTTTGCACCTTCGAAATGTAAAGTACTTTTACAGGACTGGTAGGCCCCTGATCCTGCACTCACCCTGGATAGTGAGCAGATAGAAGTAGTCGAGAAGTTCGTGTATCTGGGTAGCTGCATGGTGGTGGCATGAGTGATGAGATCAATTCATGTATAGTATAGTAAAAGCCAGAGCGGTTTATGCCAATCTGGGCCATCTTTGGCACCTTCGTGATGTTAGCCTGGCTGTAAAAGATCGAATCTACAACGCATCTGTTGAGAATCCTAGACAACTCATCACCATTGTTGTCTCCGGAAGGTTGCTAACATCCAGTGATACCGCCATGTGAGTAATGAGGAGGTTCGGCATCGTGTGCATGCGGGTACAGTGACGATAATTCACCCGGTATCACCATCTTGAAACACCGACTGTGATGGCTCGGACATGTACTACGAATATCGCAACAGCGAATTCTACGTCGTGCATTATTTGCCGATGATGGGACCGGTCGGAAAAAGCGGAGGTGGTCAGTGCACAATGTAGTATTGTGGTATGAAAGAAAGCTGTACTGAACCGTCTTCTATTGGTCCGTCACGTCAGTCAGTCAGTAACAACGTAGAACTTCGTACGTACGTACATCAGGTAAAGTTGCCACACCACATTAGCACAGAGATGCAGATGTCGATTCAAATCTCATAGTGGTAGGGGTAGTAAAAGTATAACCAGTAATCGGAAAGATTAGGGTTTGAAGATGTTATTCAAGGAGTATAATCCAGTGAAATAAATTTGGGAAGAGGAAAAAAGGGACATGAAGAATTCAGATTAGAATTTGCGAGAACACAAAAGGTAGATGCACCTGTGCCATTGCAAACAACTTTGAGCCATGTCGTTCAAGGTCTCTAACCATCGGTTGCTATCATCTCGCGATCCCCAACCAGGTAGTCTACACCTACCAACGTGGATCAGTCCACTTGTCAGTGACTTCATGGACTTGTGCCATGTTTTGGTTTGGCCGCCACTAGCTTCCTTCCAACCTACTCCAATACCATTGAACATAGCACGTCGAGGTAGTCGGTCGTTGGGCATACGTAACACGTGTCCCAGCCATCTCAACTGATGAAGCTTCACTACTTCATCAATTGATTTGCCATCCTTACCTAGTACCCGTTTCCTAACAACTGTATTACTTACAAGATGGTCCCAGGATATACGAGCACTGTTTCGAAGACACCTATGATCGAATACTAGTAACCTACGAATATCCTCTACTCTTACCGGCCACGCTTCACTTCCATAAAGTAGGACGGAACAAACTGCTGCGCAGTAAACACGTCCTTCGGTTGGTAGACGGATATCTTACCTTGAACGACGTATCATTACAATTGCAACTGACTAAAATAGATCATAATTTTTAACGGCACTTAGTTTGTACAAAATAAACTTCCAATCAGCTGAGGGGATTTAATAAACAAATAAGAACCGACTTGAACAACATTGTTTCCATTCCATTGAGATTATTGTCTTTTTTGCGTTCAATTTCATATCATATTCACAATTAATAAGGACGCTTATAGTATTTTTGTTATTGGTAAAGATAATTAACTCTAGCTGCATTTTTTGTCTCTGGAGTCATTATAGAGTTTAAAGCATTGGTGGATACTTTTATTGTTATTATAACTCCTCAGTTGTCAATGAAATTATTCATGTATATGGTTTAGTTTTCCGGTCATTTTTACTCAGAACTAGATGAAGAAATTAAGAAAAAAGCTAGAAGACATTATCCTGGTCTTACTAATATATCAAAGAAGGAGGTAGGTGTCCGTGGGCGCCTGGAGGCACAAGTAATGAAAAAGTAATTTTCCATTTATAATTTTTTAGTCCATGAAATTTTTATTAAAAATGACATTAATCAGGTACCAGACAAATCAATCTATTTTCTAGTTTTTTCCTCTCATCCCTCCACATTGGGTCAAGAGAATATTTCATTTTGGATATAAGGGTACCATTGCAATCTATGTTGTCTCATGGCATCTAGTCTATCAACTGTATTAACGACGGTTAGAGAAGTAATAAACTTTCGACATTCTTTTGTCTTCTCGATAGTTGATAGCACGGTACAAGTTCGGTTGAGGATTATTTTGCGTTGTATTACTTATTGTATTGATACACGAATTTGGGTAGCTAGAGTCATCGGGAGTCAAATCATTAGGTTGTCTGGGGGAAATAACCTTAAAGCCGCTTAAATCGCGTTATCCAATAACGGAATTAAATAAGTCGAATAACGAGAATTGACTTGAGAATACATATATTTCGTACATGAAGCGAATGAAACATAGCAAAGCAAAATGACACGTATGGAAGATGGCTGAGAACCACGGGCCACTAAAAATATTAATTCCAAAACCATGGTGAATATGGGCTCCAGAATCCGAAGAAAACAAATAGCGTATGAACTCATTGTTGGTCACCGACTGAGACCGCATCTCCTAACGTTGTTCCACTGTGTTGTGGATTAGACTTTCAGGTCGAAGGCTCTGCGTGTGATCCCCCAAGAAAACCACCTGTTTCGGTTTACACAACCGGATAGTATCACAGCACAAACACAAATCAAATGACGATTACTACTGGAAATACTATTCGTACTTCAATTAGCGTTCAGAAGAATCACGTTAACAATGATTTGATAACATTCATTTTTATGTTCTTTATATATACTACGTCAACTATATACTCCCCTCTATTCTCATTTTGTGTATTCTAATTTTTCAACTTATACAATAGCTCACCTATGGTGGAAACCCTGTCCTATCCAAACGATCTCAAGTCACTGATTGGTCGAAGGTTGAGTGATACCACCGACTACGAATAAGGAGACCACGTATACCCTTCAAACTGGCCTCCTTCAACGTTCGCACACCTGTGCAGATAGGACAACAGGTAGGGTCGGCTATTTCCTTAGAAAGCCTGAGCATCGATGTCTGTTGTCTATCCGAGACAAGTATTCAAGACTCTAGTGAAGCACTACAAATTCGCTCTCCATCTGTCGCTTCGAAAAGTTGGTTTCACGTGCGTTTATCCGGAGACCTTGTGGCATCTTTGTCTGTTTTTTTGGCGCTGGTATTTCACCAAGCACCAGAGTTAAGGTAGCACTAATGGATTGAATCCTCGTTACCAGTCCGTTATATGCTGTTAGATTAGAAAGTTCCATCAAATTACGAAGACGTCGGTGTAAGAAACAATGTCTTTTCGTCATCTCCACTTATGCTCCGACAGATTGTAGCCCGGATTCTATCAAGGATGCGTTTTATCACCAGTTAACTGTTCGTTTACAGAAAGTGAGTTTGACAGATATTGTAGTACTAGCCAGAGACTTGAATGCTTAGGTCGGGCGTCTAGACACAGAAGCGAGTCGTTTAGGTGGTCGATGGGGGCTTGTTGGTCGCAGGTGAAGGAACGATGACTAACTACTGCAACTTTGAGTAGACTACAACCTGTTTCTGGCTAACACTCACTGCCGGCACAGTCATCGCCGACGTGCTACTTGGAGTTCTCCTTCTGCATCTCAAGCCTGGACTCAGGTTGATCACATCGCGATCGACTATCGCTGGCGTGGTTGTGTACAAGGATGCCGCTCATTTTGGAGTGCCTATCTGGATTCTGATCGTGCCTTTGTTTACACTAATCTTATCTTGTGTTTCATACGCTAACAAATTCATCGTTCCAAATGGATCGACGTCAGCAAATTGGATGCAGCTTCTGTTGCAACTAAATATCAATGCTAGCTACCATCCCATGGAAAAGCATAGATGAGCACGTCGGTCCACTCCGAGTGCCTGGCAAATTTTTATAAAGCTCTCTTTACATGTTTTTTTTAGTGGGAAGTACCCTGACTGGTTTTATTTTCGTAACTATCATGTTTGTCTTATTACTTTTCACACATTCATACAGTAATTTGGATTTGTTTTTGTTGTTATAGACAACTTCGTTTTTCTGTCTTCAATATCTGGTTTTCATTGTGACAATATTCATGTGTTCAATTAAATAAATGAAAATACTTATATTTTATATCAGCGTGCTGTAGAAATGATATCTTACCTAAATTTTCTGTTATACTTACAGGAAAACATTACGGAAGCGTTCATGAATATTAAGTTAATCAGACGGAAATGTTGAATACGCACATTTTTCTGACAATTTTCATCATGCGTGTAAAGAATAATTATCCTACCATAATTTCTCATTTTGTATATATTTCTTATAAAACATAACAGTTTAAAATATGTTGGGTAGTTTTTAGTAGAAAATAGATGTACTCATACTACTAATTCTATTGATATTTCTTCAGCGTTTACACAATAAACACGACATTACTTTCTCACAACTCACACGTATCTTCCTGTCATACGTTAGTACCTGACGCAAGTCAATCTAAGTATGGCATTTATTAAACAGCAGAAAAGCATTTAGAATACGTACTTTAGCACTGAAGGTGTGGCTTTCACAAAACTGAATCATGTTGCCTACGGAGGGTGCAGTTTAGGGGAGCTGGAGTTACCTCTAGGAGAGGTACTCCTGATTTAGCTACCAGTAAAAATGCATCCTCAGATCACTGGACATATCAGATATTTTTGGTAACTAATTATTAGTCAATGGTCCAAAAAACCTAAATAGGTTACTGGTTAACTAATATTAGCAAAACATTGTACTCAAAAAATACTTTAAATAGATTTTTGTTGTGAATAGAACCTTCAGCAAGTTGCTACGTTTTCGCTTTCCAATGTTGTGTGTACAAACATAAAAATGAAGGCACTTTGTGAAACAAAAGACAAATTTCGGATTAAATTAAAAATAAAAAGTAGATAAGGAGTGAGGTTATACATACTAAATAAAATATCGTGTTCAGTAATCAAGTTCGAAGATAATGAACTCTAGTCTAGATGTAGTGGTGGTGGTTGTTCTGGAATAATTGAGGAAATCAGAGCTGAAAAGAACTGATAAGAAAGATTTGCTGCCAAACGTAGATTTGTAGTTATCCTCGTAAATCTCGATTCTTGTTCACCACGTAGGCTACCGTTTGCTTGATCCGCAGACTCCTGAGCAAGCTGGCTTTGCTGATTCTCCGATTGTTCACTTGCCTGTTGATAAAAAATCACATATGTTTTAAAATATCGTGTTGAAGAATTGAAGTTATGACGCGTACATACACTAATAACTAATCAAAAATCTATATCAGATAGTGGAATTTGCGAAAAACACTACCATGTGGTTTTTTAAATCAAATCGACTAAGAATTCGTTGAAACTAGTGTGAATATTTTTGTTCGGTCAACAGAACAAATCCTTGGGTTTGGTATCGTAGAAGTGCTCTGGAGAGCTGTTACAAATGATACTTGGTTTTCGTAGCCACTTCCTGACCAATTAGTGAAGACGTTGCAAAAATCAAACGGGATTTGCCATGAAAATAACGAAGCCTGACTACATTAGATCTAGGAAGCGGTCGTTTTTTAGACCTCAGCACCAATTACCCGAATATAATGTTAGGGAAATACCGTTACAGGACTTATTTAACTGAGGGCTGATAGGTTTTTTCCCGAACTTTTCTTATGTGTGTAAGTAGATTTGTAGTCGCTTACAAGATGGCTGGAAAGTTAGCGGGATGATATTTTGAGGCGTCACGCACAAAAATTGTGAGATATTTCAACATCAGCTCATCTGTTATTCAGTGAATTACTGGCAAAGCTATAATGGACTGATGTATTTGGTTACCCAATGCAGTACGGTAAAATAGGGTGTAGCTCGAGTGCCTAACACACATACATCAATAATCACACTATATGGATAACGATGGCCTTATAAGATGATACACATATGTCAAATTAACCAACGTAATGAGCTTTCACGGCTCACAATATTACTCGGAACCAAAAATGGTCACCATATTCTTGTTCTTTGTCATATTTTGCGATCTAATCTGTGTAATCTGGGCGTTAGCTTTTGGGTGAAGTACTGTGGTGCTTCACTATACATTTGGAACAATCCCTATGAGAATTATGGCATTCTGATTGAAAGTATGTTAAGTCAAGTCCAATTCATTTTGTTAAATTTAACAGTGAACTTTTGTTGTACAGCTGATTCACTTCTAATGACTTTGACATACATCCAAGTAGTAGCATCATTTCTTAAAGTTATCTGATTATACTTCTCTGCAATAGCTTGTTTGATTATTGCACGTTTCACCTAAATACGTATTATCCACTGAATAGAAGCTACCAATTATTCCAGTTGATGTGTTCGGTTATAGTGAACGAATCGTTGCCACTTGTTTGTCCCTCACAGCGCTGGCTGCTTTTTTTTGCAATCTTGAATATAGATGTTTCTGATTTAATTTATTCTCCCGAAAATATAAAGATGTAGACAGTTTACCGAATCAACAATATTAAAAGTAACAATAGTAATAGTGCAACATGAAATTCTCAGCATACTTACTGGAGTGTTTAAATTGCTTTGTGTACCTTGCGGATTTTGTTGTGGTCGCCGTTGGGCCTGTACTATACGCTCTACAACAGCGTATCTGCGGTAGATATTATACCTAGGATTAGAATATTTTCGAAATTATGCAAATGATAATTTAAACAGGATATTTTGATGCTTTACATGCTTCGTTATCTGTTGTCGATTGGAAAACGGTTTCTTGGCATCCACTGATCTAACCAGATAATTTAACCAATCAATTCATCCGACAATAAAAACTCCAACCAAATTCGTTTAACGTCAATCCTTAAAGTTGTCTTACATCTCAAACGATCAGAATTAAGAACGATATACAGGACAAACACGAATACCGAATTAACCTGTATTCACAAAACAAATCCAATACTTAAGGTGATTGGCTGACCCACTTCAAAAATATACCAATCGAAACCAAACTTCGATGATTGGGATAATATAATACCAAGTGTATCATAAGCTTGATGATAATTAAGGAATATTTGATTTGGTACTAAACGATTTCTACGACACTCGAGATATGACTCGAAAAATAACAATGAAAGTTACAGTAGAAATAGCATCAAATTGATAGCCACGTAACAAGACATTTTTAGTCTTTAGAAATCATACGCTAAAATACTACAGAAAAAAACAGCTGCATTAATTAAAATAGAAAACAACTCACATTTATAAGGGCCAATAGTGATCCTTTGATTTTGAGATATGTCAAAAAACGTTACAGATTAAAACTTAGTCGCAAACTTGATGACAATAGATTCCAATTAGTAACTGCTAAAAGTATATACTACGAGTAATTACTGTTGGAACTATACTGGTTATGTAAATAGAGGCTAGTGAAATTTAAAATTCATCTAGTGCATGAATAAATCAATGTAAAATCCTAGAAATAAAGTGAATTAACATGCCATATGTCAAAATTGACGATCATTACGTTATTTCACTTGTGGAAGTGTATAACTCAAGGATTTACCTTAACTAAATTTTCACGGAGTAATATTCCAAAAGGAACACATTTTTAACGACTAGTTTTGGTATATTAACGAGGGCATCCGAAATATATACTAGTGTGATTTTGTGAAGCCCATCTTTTACAACCAGACTAGATTCGTGGAGCAATTTATGGGAACATTCTGTGGATTGGAAATACTGTAATTTAACGGCAAAAAAGTGCAATTTGTTGGTACGGATATGTTTGGAACGTCATGAACATTTTAGACGCATTATAATGAACAAGCTGACGACCATTTGAAGGTGTACTTTAGTAATGCTATATTTGCCTCGGTAAGTTTGCTTCGCTTACTAAAGAGATTTGTGAATGGTATTTTTATCACAGTAATCTTTTGAGAGCAGCCGGTTACTTCTATTTTATTCGTGTAGTAAAGATTAAAGAGCTCTTTCTTAAAACAAAGTCAAATTCACGTTTGGGTCATCAGCTGAAGTTTTTCTCATTTTAAAGAAAAAGCAACGGAGAAAAAGAAACTCCTGGAAGAGCCTACTAGCACCATCAAGGAATTTATGAATTTCGTTAGCTGAGCAAGATGCTTTTTAAAAGAAAAATTATGTGGATATACACCCCAAAAAATATAACTTACGACAAAGGAAATCAATATCTATCAAGAGAGATTTCAATTACACTAACCACCAATGAATAATACAGACGTTGAACTACTCATTCAAAGATGAAAACTCTGACTACTCATAACTATTTTATTTCATTATATATTCTGAATAGTAAAGAACTGGGCTGATGTCTTATGACTTGCTACGTCACTTGCTATCTACCTTACCCCCAGGTCGAGCCAAAAAGATTCACATTAGTATGGTTTTTTAACGACCTTTAAGTACAGAAGGTACGGATAAGCGTCTTTAAAGCATTGCTCATATGCAGTAGAAACAACGATTAGATAATGAGGTTAGGTGTATGACAGTAAGTTGATTGATCAGGCTATAAACCTCAATTAATAAACAGTTGTGCTAGGTTTTAGGTTAACCATGATTAACATTTTGGGCTTATATGGGACTATCATATCGCTGCTTATTTTGGGTAGCGTATCACGCCTTATAGTGGAGGTAGTGCTTATGATTGGAGACTCTGGGTCATATGGCTCATAATCGCTCACAATGGCGTCGGTGCACTGTCTTCCTTTAAACTGTGAGTTTAAAATCGCTTCATATCTTTCTTCCTGTACTATGTCTTTATACGCAATCTTTCTTCTATATATTACCACCACTGAGCTAACTACTTCTATGAATCCGGTGTTCATCTTGTTGTACTAAGGAGGTATGGCAACTTGGACCGATGCACATATTTGCTGGTCTTACGTTATAGCTGACTGAGTGCTGATTAATTGAATTTATATTAGTGTGCTTTCAGACTGAGCTGCTTAATTATACTGACTAACTGAGAACGGGGAATGATGTCTTTTCAAAATCTCCGACTTTTGTTTCATCGATGGTACCCCCGATGTAATAATGGATTAATGCTACCAGCCACTAAACAATCCTGGCAGAGCGTGTTTGACAACCGTTGTCTACTTTAGTTATACACTTGGATCGACGAATCGGGTGTTCAAAAAAGACGTCTACCTAGCCGATGCGGATCACGTAATGAGAACCGTCTTCAAAAGCTTCGTAATTTTATTAACATCGGTATCAATTTGCTCTCTTCGTTGTTTTGACCACATATAAAGTTGTTATTCACAAAAAATAGGGTTTTCAGTGAGATATTACTGTTTGTTCTTGAAATAATAAGAGCTATGTGATATAATTTTGTTCATGTTAACGTGAATCTAACAACTCAAATGTAAGGTGAAAATTACTGTGTTTGGTTTTCCTCAGCGATAAATACACACTATATACTTAATCATTGAGTTTGCTAGATGCTAAATTTAACCATTTGTATTCAAATAGATTTGTTTGGGACTCTTCAGACTGGTCAAGGTAAGGTTCGGTAGTTAGCGAGTATTTCAGAAAAATATGCACAAATGATCCACTCTCAACGCGGGATACTAAAATGATGGGAAGAACTATTTGACTGCTATCTAGCCACTCTTTAGTTATTTACTTTTACCAAGAAATCTGAATGTGGTGTTGACGTAAACCTCTCACCCTCTTAATGAAGTAGAAAAAGCCATTGCTAATTTTAGGCAAAGGATAGTAGGAGGTACTGACGGGTTAAAGCCAGAAATCTTCTAATATGATTGTTCACTCTTGGCTTTCAAGTTAAGTGAGATATTAGCTAAAGTATGGGAAATGAACCTAGTCTCATTTGACTGGTCCCGATTGTTGATCATTCCAGTCTACAATGAAGGATAGAAATTCTCTTGTGATGACCACAGAGGAATCAGTTTGACTTATATAGTGTCTAAAATTATCGACCTTAATAATCCTCATAGAAGCCAGGCTGGTTTCAGACCCGGGGATGGATGTGTAGACAAAATATTTGCCCTCTGTCAGATTTTGGAACATGGACTTACCCACCGACTCCCAACTATGTTTGTGATTCCTGAACTTAAGCCAGCGTTCGGTTCTGTAGATCAAGAGGTCTTATGTTAGTGTTTTTTATTGGAAGGTGCACCAAAAAGGTACATTGACCTTGTACAAGCTCTTTACTCGAATACTACTAGTCAAGTCGGAACTTATGGAGGTGTCATTGGAGTTGGCAACTCAAAGTGTTGTCTATCGGGGTTGTTCGCTTTCCCCATTTTTATTTAACTGTCATACACATTCTTTTAGAAATAACTCTTACATCGTGACATTTTAGAAACCGATTTATTACCAGGATATTCACCTGTCAGTTTAGAATACGCTGATACTGTTCTCTTTGGCGAGGATGCTGACAGAACACAGAGGATTTTGATTACTATGCGCAACAATGTCGTCATGTTTGTGATGCATTTTCTTCCATCTAAGTACACAGTTTTGTTTCTGGACTGAGTTGTATCAATGCCTGGCTTAATGGTGGAGAATGAAATGATTGAGCATGTCGATTACTTCACGCATCCTGGAAGTCTCATCAGTGCTAGTGAGTTGGTAACTGACGAAATCTCGAGGCAGATTCAGAAGGCCCAGTTGGCGCTCGTCAACTTGCGTCATCCGCGGTGTAGGCGTGATGTCCTTTTGCCGATCAAAGGACGTATTTACAAGGAAGCAGTTCTCTGTCCTACTTTATGGCTGTGAAATGTGTCCTTTAAAAATATGTATACCATTTGTAGATTAATAGTATTTAATCATAGATGTTTTTGAAGCATTGTATTGGGACAATAGAGTGAGCGATTCTGAGGTTGAATACAGATTACTCGATGAAGATGTAAACGAGGTAGTGAATGCTTATCGACTGAGGTGGTTAGGACAAGTGTTACGTACCCACAATAACTGCCTCTATCGACACGCAATATTTGCCGGCTGAGGAGCAAGTTGGGAGAAAACTAATAGCGGCCAAACTATCGGCGAATTATCGTAACGGCGGATAACATGACTTAGGACCAGTCAAAAAGGCGTATATCCACTCTTCCTTCCTCTAAATTTAGAGTTCCAAAGTTATTTTATTCCGTGAGTTCATTCTTTCTTCTGGAATCATATTCTCTAGGTCTTTTTTTACAACTAACGATATTTTTACTGCTTTTATTACTCTGGGATCACTTTTAGTAATTTTATTTCGCGGGTGTGGTAGACTGAGTCGAAAACACACACGTATGCCAGCTTCTACGCCAGAAAGTCAGCTGCAACGTAGGACCAATCACATATGTGCATCGGTCCACGTTGCCACACGTCACGCATGACTAAGTGCCCCTTACCTATTCTCTCTTTTCCAAATGTTATTTCCCTCCATAACACATTTCTGGTGTCCTGTCGTACGAAATATTTTGTGGCGCAATTAAGAAACTCCGCTCATACTAGCGAAAAAGATAAGTTTGGTCAGAGCTTTTTGGATGCTATGCATGAGTTAGTAATCATCCACAAAATGAATCTAACAGTTACTATAGGTCGCCAAGTGGTTAACCTAAAGATTGTATGGAACGCATTAGTATTAGAAAAATAATAGTTGGGAACTTACAGGTATACATAAGCAGCAACTGAGAATACAATAAGTGCCTTGTCCAAAGATGAATATGCGAAACAAAGTCCCACGAAAAGACAAAGTCGAAAAAGCAAGTAAAAACGATCAATTATGTCCATATTCCCCACCCCGTTAACCTCTTCATCGGGTCGATCATTATTTCGTATTGCATTATTAAACACTTCTTGTGCTGCTTGGGGTTGGATTTGGTCAGCTCTTTGGTTAACTCCATCTTCATTCGGTAATACCTCACCCGCTTCCCTCTGACGACGATTACCATTAAACACTCCCCAACCGGATAAAAGTGCCTGTGCCCTTTGAATCCATTGTTGCGTGTTGCTAGATGAACTGTTTGGGATTGCTTGGTGTGAAGAGCTATGAGTTTGTGGTACATAAGCATTGTTAGGGAAACTATAGTTTCCGGGAAGCATTTGTATCACAGTCCCTGTTAAAAACAATTAACAGTGTACTATATTAGAACTGATAATCGTAACACTGTGACAGTAACTCACCAGCAGATATTACATTAACTAGTTGTACATTTAGTGAGATCCTTTTGCACTTGAAACGAGCATTCAATAAAGCAAAAATACATGTTTCAAAAAATTACTTAAAGAGAGATATAACTTTCGAAATTAAATAAAATGTGTAGATATACGGAACTGCTTGTTAACGATATGAGAATGTCATTCATGATTATTGCAAAAAGTCCTCATAAAGTATAAACCGACGTACTCATAAGCTCATCTGGTTAAAATCTTTGTATGTAAGTGAAAAATAGAAACATACTCCACAAAATGATACATTCATCATTGATCTTAATCCTAGAGGTGATGTTTATCATTACTATCATAAAATCATGACAATTTAATCTTAATTGAAATGTCTCGTCAATCTCATTATAACAACACAAAAAACTCGTACGTTAACAAACATATGGGGATAAGATCCATACCTGATCCAAAATCGATAGGGCAACGGTAATCCTGTGTGCGGTACTCAGTCCGATTTACTGGAGGATTCTCCATATAAAAAGTTTGTAGATAATGATAATACGCTTGCTGATATTTATGCATTTGCTCGGGTGAAATATCACTGTAAGAAAAATCCCGGAAAATAACGATTAGATTATGATACAAAAGTATAGGGAAGTTGAGACGGACTTTTATCTGAGATCTGGTATATAATACCTTACAAATTGGAGCTGAATACGAGTCTGTGGTGAAAAATGAAACAAAAACCTAGGATCGCGCGGCGCATGTCGGATTCGGTTCAGAAATTTTTTGTGGGAAATTTTACAAAACGGGATTATAATACTAAATTGATTAGACGAAAACGAAGAACAAGTGGACACTTCAGTGACTATAGTCTAGTATTTTTATTTATTTATTTGAACACATAGATATTGGTACAAAGGGGCATCAGATACATATGCGCCACACAAATCTCATTTGATTTGTGTGAGAGCTGTGATACTGCCCGGGTGCCCAAACCGGAACCTTTGGCCTAAAGATCTGATCCACAAGGCAGTGGAGCAACGTAAGGAGATGCAGTCTCATGGTAGCCGGTGACCAATAATTGGTTCATACGCCATTTGTTACCTCAGGATACTGAAGTCAATGTGCACCACTGGTTTGGATTTTCCAACTCCCGTAGGTGGACTCTCTATGTTAAGGCGCCGGACATTCACTTATCGTCTTATCAATCTCGTAAACAACACCGCCACGAGAAGGCAATGAGTAGGACTTCCCTGACAGAGGCTATATAAGCGTGACCATGTGAGAGCATTGAGAGAGAAAGAGTAGACTCTCCCCATTCTCGGCCGTACCAAGGCAATTATATATATATATATATATATATATATATATATATATATATATATATATATATATATATATATATATATATATATATATATATATATATATAACAGCTACATGTGTCGGTGAACAAAAGCAAATCGTCAGAGAGAAAATCAAGAAACATAAACTCACGAACCTGGATGGAGGGTATATACTACTAGAATTCCACGTAACAAAATCCATATATTGAAAGTAAAATTATAAAACTGAAGAATCAAGCCCTCACACTCCAACTTTTCAGCTCCTAGATAACAGGTTTCGGAATGGGCATCCATTTTTAACTAACTGTGAAAGGACCGAACAGCAGACCAGGATAGTGGCTTGCCTGTTAATGTGATAGTCGTAGAATTCAGCATGGCGTTTGGTAAGATGTCTCACTTAGTGCTTATGCAATCTCCCTAGTCTTGAGATAGCAATCAGCTACAACGTAGGTACAATAAAAAGCATTTTCTACGTCCACGAACTACCAAGACAGTTATAGTCGTCGACACTGGGGTTCGGTGACCTCGAATTCCGGAGAATAATAAAGCTGATAATTTTGGTCTTCAAGCTGGCTTAGGTGAATTAGTAAGACGACCCCAAATTTGATGTCCGAAGATCAATTCCTGGAAGATTCCTCAATTCACATTGGACTCGGCAATGGCCACCGATAAGATCATTGATACACTACTCCCATGAGTCCAGGAATGAAAAGAACTAGGGTTAGTAGTGATTCACGACCTAGGAACAACTCTGAATAGTAATGCAGTAGCTAGCTGATCCTTCAACGGGATTCTGATAATCCCAGTTTCGTTTGAGCATCTCTCCCTAAGATGTAAAGTTGTGTGAATGATTAATTTCTGTTCTTAATAAGTGTTTTCGTGGTCTAACATAACTAAGATGGTGTACATGTAAGATAACCCCGTACGAATGTATAAACACCTTACAAACTGGGATAGATGTTGTACGCTTGGGTCGAATTTATGAACAAGTATCACGAAATCTTTTATACAGCAATGTTCAGCAGTTAGTAACGTTGAGTGAGTTGGCTACGAATCAGTTGCAGCAACTGGTTTATATATATATAGCTTTTCGCAAGCCATATTTCCAACGCTTATTTCTTATAGATGTCATCGACATTTTATTTCCGAATCTTTTTATGTCCACTTTCTAACTTAACCTAGTTGTACTGACGTGATGTAGTAATTGACGAATGGATGTGTACTCCAGGATTTGAGTTGCTGATTGACGTTAGCGACGTGACTACAGTCTAGCCATTTGCTGCTATAAAGGTCATACTGGAGAAAAAATGTTACAAAGAGCTGCAAGATAATTCGGTGTGTAAAACTTACAACAGAGTATTGTCACCCCGTTGGTTGTTGACATTAGAATCGCCCATTGGTCTTGGGTTGGGGTATACTAGATGGATTGTAGGAAGCCCATCGACCTGAAAATGATCAGAAAAGATACCTTACCTGACTACAAATGTCTGAGATTGATGTGTCATCTTTTAAAAGCTTACCAGCATGGATAAGTCTTTGAGATGATACACTAGGTTGGGCGGGATGATGCTCTGATAAGTAATTTTTCAAGTCACTGGCCAGCCAGTGAGAAAGGCATTGCACAGTCAAACTAGGTATTTTGTCACTAGGTGATTTGATTATGACCTTAAACCTCTTATCACCCATCTTCCTAGATGACGTAAAACTGTAGATGAAAACCCGCCCCTCCTGAATCAATCATCATAACAAGAATATCGTCCAATATCTTTGAGATCAACCATTTTAACAGCTTGAATCTTGGTGTCAGGTGGTAGTTCTAACTCCATTCTCTGGGTTCAATCAATTTTGCTAGCTGCTCGGCTTCAGTAGCTCAAATGACGTCTCAGACCAACTTTTGGGAATGATAGATGAGAAATTCGGAAAGTGATGGATAATTACTAAGTTTTCAGCAAAGCTTGGATTCTAAGCCTTGAGCCTTAAACTGAAAATTTCTAGAGATAAATTATAGCGGAGGAGGACAATAATAAGTAGTGAAAAAAAGGAAAAATCCATCGGACTACTAGGTTCTTGTAGCGGTAAATAAGTCCCCAAAATCAGTAGCTCTGAAAGTTCCCGACATTTGGTACTGACCTCATTACTTTTACTGGATTTACCTAGCTGAAGGCGCTTGATCACACATCACCACCAGATCACAAGTGGATATACCGTGCTACTTATTCCGTTAAACTACTAGCCAGCTTAGACCAAACGTTCCTTTGACATACTGATAGCTTTCTAAACATATTATGAAACGTCTTCACTGCTGACTTCCCATTTAACTGGATTAAGTATTACTGGTTAAGGTGTTGTCAAACTCCCAAAACTTATGGCATCTTTACTCTTGTAAACACATGTGCAGATTTCCCCTTTTAGAACAAAAATAACTCGGTGATCCATTGAATTACACATCCTTTTATAAAACTGGACTCGGGATTAATCCTTTCTTACTGATGAAAGTGTTCAAAGAACAATTAAAATGATGAAAATCTTCGGATCCCTACAAATATCCCTGGGAAGTCGCTTGGACTAGTTCAGTCGGCAGCGAATTCCATCATTTTACAATTCTTGGTGAATATAAGTTGTGTCTACAGTCCATTCTCTTGTGTTGTATCTCCAATTTCTGGGTGTTACTCCTTAGGTTTACATTGAGACTAAGCTTAATTAGATGTTTAGGGGGATGTCAAGAAGTATTAAAGATACTGTAAGCCATCAGAAGGTCACCTCTAAGAGGCCTATACTCTAATGGGTAAAGGTTAGGTGATTGTAGGCGCTCTTCATAAGGTTCGAATTTTAGTCCCTGAACTGATTTCCTGGCTTGCCGTTGGATACGCTCCAGAGTGTCCTTATCCTTTTGGAGTTAGAGTTTAATTGACCATAACACTCGTTCTCGCGGAAATATGGTTAACAATTCAGTGAGGATTTTTAAAGCAGGTGACAAGGGTGAGCACAAGCTTGGTGAATATTTGTCCTGTGGTAAATTTCACACACGTAATTCATGTGTATTTCATCATGCTAAATGCTTAATGTGTTGTGATATCGGATACATCAAGTCGGTTTGTAAAACTACTGTGTATTTCGCTTCAAGTAATGCTAAACTTTGTAATGCAGCCCTTATTAACTTGGGTGATTCTAATGACTATATATTATTTTTATTTTCAACTTCGTATTCGAAAACGATTATATTTATCCATTGGTGCTCTTTACTATTTTATTGTTGAAACTGACAGTATTAAGTCCATCATTTCGCTAGGGAAGTTGAAGTCACTAATTATACCTATCGAAGTTTCATTTTTAGTATCACTGGTTACTAACTTTCCGTTCTTGTGTTCTGTACTTTGCTGATTAGACACGAAAATGTTTCACCCTTTAATTGGGAGTCCCTCATCATCTCTCCTGGGTATAGTAAATTTAAGAATGCTTCAAGTATAGCTTCCCTTATTGACCACTGGAAATGGTTTTAATTGAGTGCTTGATAACTTGCTGGCTATTGAATCCAAGTGTTAAAACTGCGCATGACTCCAGAACCCTCTCATTCAGATGAGCAAGAAAAAAACGACAATACCCTGGAACTAAACATCATTTCTATTACTGGTGTAAAATTTAAAGACGCAGAAAGTAGAGTGGATAAAGTTTTCCAGTGACGAATAACAGTGGTGAGATCGCTCAAAGAAAAAATCTTCGTGCATTTAGAGAATGTTTACAATCTGCCGATGTTACACATCATCGAAGAACTGATCTCCACAATCTTCGAGAGGTCTACTGAAAAGGTTGATCAATTTATGTTTCGTATACAAGCCAGTCAGAACAACCGAACACGTTATGATCACCTAAGTAAGTTCTTCTCGATTCCCGTTGTTATTTCTCATACTGTACATTCTAGGTCACACAAAAATGCACAGCCCGAGAGATATATGATTAACCTCAGGAGAAGACGCACAACATATTTTGGTCATTGGGAAGTCCATTTAAGCTGTGGCGGTTGTAGTATTTGTACTGACGGATGATTACTTTGCACTTGATTGCTGGTTCATCATGAATCACAAATACAATACGTTCATTTGTCTTCATCTAGTCCTACCTGACTCAAATCGCACAGTTTCGGGAATGTTTAATTACGATATTAATCCGATTATTTTTACTTATCGCATGAATACATGTGGAATATTGAAGAACCAGAAAGAATATTCTAACGCTTACCTACAGGGTCACTTAATGTCAAAACTTATGTTTTCACATTGTCATCTAACATTTACTTGAAACGGTCAAACGAGTATATCATCGGTAAGATGCTTGAGATCGATTCCCATGTACAAAACATACCTAATGTTATGAGGCTGGATATCATGTGGATGCCTGCTCACTGAGCTAACTTGTTCGGACCCAAGATTCGTCAAAGTTTTGGTGCAGACGACTCGCTTTCTCTCCACTGATGTCCATCCACAATCATAAACCAACTTTGTCAGTCAGAAATGTAAAAATTAGTAACCTTTATTTTTGAGTACATTAATATTGTTTGATGAGATATTATAGACTAATTGATTTTCGTTCTCATATCTAGATGTTGGAAACTGTTCCTGGTTTTGTCCCAGATAGCTTCCAGTAAGGTCAATCTAGGCATGGTGAGAGACCTATACTTTTTATCACCTACATTTCATGAGGGTTGGAAAAAGTTCATCTCAGCATTGCTTGCCTGTGTGTACGTATCGGTGTTATCCCACGTTTCGGGTAGGAAGTAAGAAACACTTACTATACTGTAGACAAACCTAAATAGAGCTACCAGAAAACTCAGAAATTTTACGTAAAATTTGTTTATAGACCGGTCAGAGATGCTTTTAGTTTGAATGGTGCAAGATCGAGTTAAAAAGCAGTATTGTCACAAAGTGTGGTTTTAAATCATAATGAACCAATAAATCCACACCTTTTTCTACTGACGACATTTCTAAAGGATAATTGTTCTAAATGTATGCATGACTTGCATCAAGCCGCAGATGAAGGATTTTAGAATTTTTAGAGTTGAAACTAAAGTCCTGGTTTTCTTTACAACTTCAAAGACCAGTCTGATATTCTTGATGTTCCAAACTGTTCCTTTACTGTGAGTTCTACTTTAGAGCTTCGAATCATTGTCAAAAAATCATTTTCAAGTTACTCTCCTGAGAAAAGTTCGAATACTAGAATATTGAATGGTGTGTTTAATATCTTTTCCTCGAATTTCAACTGTTCTCTTCAACGATCCTAATAAAAACCTACTACAATTATCAATTTGACTGTTTCCAAATAGAGAACGAGGAGTAACTTCCAACACCAAACTGGTGAGTCCTGTTTGGGACACGAAAGCTTTCCTTTTTATCTACTTGTTCTATTCCATCATAAAAGTTAACCTTCTGGTAGATTATTAAGAAGTGGCACATACCTGCCCTTGCAGAAATAGAATATTAGGATTATATTTAGTAGATTTGGGGTACACATTGTATATATATTTTTTTTCACAGGATTCACGACGGTACGCTTAAGTGGACTTACTCCTTTCATAAGATCGATTGCTACGCGTGTATTTAAATAGGTTAAAGAAAACAATTCAGTAGTATGGTAACGAATGAGTAGAGAACCGTTCAAATGATAGAGATTCAAGAGAACAGAGAATTTTAGGACTGTGTTGATTTCAGAAATATACGAGGGGAAGCAGTGTTTTGATTCTTTATAAAACTCACCATTACTTTTGTTGTGTTGTTAGTGAAGTACTTTTTAGCGTAATAGCCCAGTTTAGCTTGTAGTAGGATTTTTCAGTGGGAAGTAAAACTAGTCCAACGTTACAAACGTGGGTTAAAGAGATAACTGTGAACGGGTAAATAAAATCAGTGCCACTGAATAGTTACTAACTCTATTGAGATAGTATGATGTGTGATAGTCTAAAGTTAATTACATATCCTTTACTGAAGACAGGCACCACGTTTCTATGTTTGCTATGATTTCCTGCTTAGTAATCATGGCGATTGTTCCAAGTCTTGTCATTTTATTATTTAGAAGGGGCCCCTTTGACAAGAATAATCGCGAACAGTTCGTGGTCACATGAAAAATAGCTCACTATGCTGTTAATACCTAACTGAATACATCTGTTTTGGGTTCTTGGTTAAGGTGACAATCCATTTAGGGTGACAAATCTGTCAGATAAGTAGTAACTAGTTGCCTGTGATCGTAACAGGACAAGATTAGTATACTCAGAATGCGTTACGGCATTGTGTCGAAAAACTGCGTCCGATAGGTTAGCTTTTCTAGTAAGCTTACTGACTAGTTGTGTCCATTGAGTGAACAAATTATAATTAAAATAGCGTTAAAGGAAAATCGTAGGGCCAGATATCTCATATGTTGTAGTTGACAAAGTAAAAATTGGCATCTCAGACCCCAGACTTTAGTAAACACTTTGTTAATTTTAGGCGAAATTCCGTCAAAGTTTAGAGAAAATGCAATATGACCCTCAAAATTTCCCCTGGTTTAATAGCTCACACCAAAATGTTTGTTCATTTTCCGTTTTGCTACCATGTCAATTTTTATTGTATATAGTTAGCAATTTACTTCTTAGGCTTTTCACTTTTGCATGTTAACATGTTACCTGCACATGTGCTAACGGAATTGTAATTGAGAACCCTGTAAACGTTCCCCACGACTCCTCGACTACCTGGAAATCATATGAAAGAAAGATGTT